AGATAATCCATTCTCTTCATCAGCAACCTTTATTCATTATCATCATCACCGTCGTCGTCGTCGTCGTCGTCGTCGTCGTCATCATCATCATCATCATCATCATCATCATCATCATCATCATCATCATCATCATTTTTATCATGGGTATTACCCTTCCAAAAAAAATCTTATGATAGGTATTACCCTTCCAAAAAAAAATTGAAATGGCTCCCATTTGCTAAATTTGCAGACTCTTTCTGAAACGGAAAGATAGACACTAAATGCATAAATTTTGGTCAATATTAGCATCATGCAGTTGGCAGTCGGAAGTTCGGCGCAAATATTTTTTTTCATGATCAATCAATCTGACAGAGATTGGAGGTAGGAATAAAAGGTGGAACCGAGGCGATTAACCCAAGAAAATGGACTGAGAACACTTCTTTTACACTGACTCGTATGTGACCAGTTACCCCAATACATAGATACGTACGTAAGGGGTCATTTTTCGCCGTTTGATCTGGTTCTTGATCTCTAATAAGCGCGTGATAGGAAATGAAAAAAATGCCTACAAATATGAAGAAAGGTCTACACTGAATTTATTGGAACGCAGGTGGAAAATATCATCGGCTTTGCCCCTGCGAGCTGAAACGTGTGTATACGCTCAATGTGTCCACTTACCCCATTCTCCTACTGTTTACGAACTTAAAGAACGAAAACTTAAAAAACCTGAGAGCTATTGAATTATTAATTGATAATACACTCGGAAATTGACGCCGAGTTTAAGTTTATAAATAACATCGATAGTAAAATTGTTCAATCGGTGATTCAACCTTTATAGAGTCATGAAACATTTACCAACTGGACAAACAAATAACTACCAATTATGTACAAATAGCCATGTGCATGTTCTGTTTATATAAGCGATACTATTTGCAATTGCATATTCATAAAATAAAATAACAATTTTTTTTTTGTACATAAGTATTTTCATTTGAGTTCTATGTTGCATCTTTAAAAACACAACTAATCGGTTGTCTTTTGAACAACACAAGCAAACACGCGACATGAAAAAAATGCTAGCAACCAACACCACTTCTCTTGCCTGACACTGTCACAGAAATGGGTTTCACAGAAACGTACCTGTTTTCATTATTTACTAGCACATTTATTTGCTGTCGTAAACTCGTATACTCAAACAGATTCCTTACGGAGAAAGCGCCAAACTTTCAAAGTTCTATTTGGTTACCAGTTTTCTCACTGTCTTAAGAGCTCAAGGCGTTAATTTTAAATAATTCACTCTTCAAAAAGGTACAAAAATAGTTGCATAAGACAAACTAAACTATAATGTTCTTCTAAAAATAATTCTGTACTTTGAACCAAACATCTCACATACAATCGTTTAAGCAGTGAAGCCTAATTGGAGCCTTAACTTTCTGTATTCTCTGCTAGAGATACAAAGCTGCGTATCGTCATCTTTGTTATTCATACAACATAGAGAATGGAAATAGGGAATGTGTCAAAGAGACAACAACCAGACCAAATACAGAAAACAGCCGAAGGCCACCAATTGGTTTTCAACACAGCGAAAAAAAAAACGCATCCGGAGGCGTGTTTCAGCTGGCCCCTAAACAAAAACTTGATGTGTACTAGTTCAGTGAAAATGGTGGTCGTTCAAAACTCCAAACATAATTATAATTGAACTAAAATTAAAAATCATACAAGACTAACAGAGACCAGAGGATCCCAACATGGAACAGGCTAAAAAAAATGCGGCAGAGTTAAGTCGGGGTCACACATTCACGATCTTATACTGCGTCCTTGACAAGACCATTCACGATTAAAATTTGTCAAATCCTTTGAATCTTAGCTGGAAATTGAAACTTTAATTAAATTTGTAAAAACATTTATTTTATCACGACAACAATCAGATATTGTTCAGACAGCGTTTAACTTTATGCGTTTCCAGTCGAATTTGTCCCTTTTATACGATTCTCAATCTGATATTAATTCGATTTGTATTTGTCACATGGAAAAAAAAGAGAACGTATTTGCCCAGACAGCGACCCGATTATACCGAATGTGATCCGATCGCGATCAGACAGTGAACCGACGCTGACGGAAGATATCCGTTAGAAAACTGTCGCCATATTTAGGATGATCAGGTACTATCGGAACGCAATACTATCACAGTCTTCTGTACCACATTGGTTAGGACTCAGTCGTATTGTGTTTTGTAATTGTCGAGACTCTGACGTGGGTATTATTACCGAATTTCGTATAAATAACGGGACTGTTCCGGAACGGTTTGCAGGGCACAGACGGTTCGCATTCGGCAAGATCTGAACTGCAATGTGGACTCGATTCCCGTTCCTAGGGACACTGTCCTGCAAACACAGAACATTGTTACGATTTTGATCCGATACAGCAGAATCTGTCACGAGATAGTCACGATTGTAATCCGACTAGAAAAAAATCGGACGATTCTCCCCGAATGTTACGGGACGCACCTAAGTGTCGCGGTGCTTGACCGACCTCTCTTGACCATTCCCGATCCGTAGGTATCTGTTACGAACGATTACGACTGCGTTCAAACAATGATAGCATTCCAAATCATTGAGGATAGAGATCCGGCTTTTTCACTTTTCGTGTCTTATCGCTGTCTGATCTCAAATGGGAGCCATAATCGGCCCTGTGCGAACGCCGCATTAAACATGTATATTTAGTGAACACATAAAAATTGAGAATGGAAATGGGGAATGCGTCAAAGACATAACGACCAGACCAAAGAGCAGAAAACAGCCGAAGGCCACCAAAGGGTCTTCAACACAGCGTCTTTGACGTTGCCTTGGAATGTCTATATTTAGGTACACGGACGCTGTTCCAACTCTTTTATCCTGCAATCAGCTTACTATTGTACAAATAAAAGGTACATTTTTTTTTTGCTTTATTTGTACTCGTACAAATAAAGTCTCCTGTCACCCCGCTTCCATGTTGAGCAAGCGATAATGTGGATATTTCTTCAAAGTTTGCGTACCAGTTCATTTTGGGGTCCTCTTCGCGATCCGCGTTTAAACTATGTCGATTTCTTTGAGTAATTAGAGACAATGATTTAGATTTTAAAAACTAAAGTTTCAAGTTTTGGGTGTAAATTTCAAGATAAAAACAATATATGTACATTGTCGGAAATTATAAAATTTATTTGTACTCGCTACGAAACAGGAGAAAAGCTCGGCGAGCCTCGCTTTTCGTCCTGTTTCTAAAGCTCATACAAATAAATTTTATATTTTCCGACAATGTACATATATTGTATATATACCTTTTTTTGTACCTGTTATTTGTACAATAGTTAGCTGATTGCAGGATAAAAGAGTTGGAACAGCGTCCGTGTACATATATTAACCTCTTGGATTTCCTTGACTGATATAACGTTTTATCAATGAGGATTTCCTATGCTTTAGCCAATGAGAAAACAGACATTTTTTAGTCATGTAACAAATCCCACTATTATTACTAATACATATCTACCAACCAAGCTTGCTGAATTGCATTACCTGTCATTTCTTAGTCATTCGATTGACAAGGTCAAGTGAGTTTTAATATATATTTAAACTGCAAGTAGGAAGGCCAAACACACTTGAAAGTATGTGTGTTTAGTGTACCCCTACATACCCTAATTTTTATCCCATACCCTAAAGTTTTTTTTACCATTTTTGATTATGGACTGTTAAAGTCACAATGTTGCTCCCATAGACTCAATTTTATATGTAAAAAAAAAATATATCATAAATAAATCATATTGAGTGGCCGTCGGCAAATTTTTGTCCGTATTCAATATACTTTCATTCTCCAGTGGCAGTCCAAGTTTCATTGACCTTTTTCATTCCGGATGACATCTATTACAGAACCTACCTAGTGTATGTATTGTTAAATTGTTCTCGTCCTGAACCTGCATGTAATGTTTGCCACTTGACATTAAGCAAATTTATATATTGTAAGTACTTAAAGAATATGTTATTCTTATTTTGATGACTTGCAGGAGGGGATTTTTGCCATTTTTATTTCACGTGCAGCCATGAAAAAGGTTCGTTATTCACCGTAGTTCGTGAAATTGGTAAAAAGATAAACGTGCAAGAAATTTTTAATTGTTCGTTCATCGTGAAATGGCAATTTTATTTCGCGTTCTTCCGTGCAGATACCCCCTTTACGTCCCTCTTTCAGTAATTGGATTATTCTCTTAACATAAAGATTATTTATTCAAAATATTGGTCAACTTATTCCATGTCGGACTATTGGGGTGTCAGACCAATGGGGTGTCTGACTAATGGGGTGTCGAACTGCTGGGACGTCGGACTATTAGGGTGTAGGACCAATGGGTACGTGTCGGACTAATGGGGTGTCGGAATAAAGGGGCTGCCCCTTAAGTAGCAGGTGTGCTCGACTCCAATCTTAATTTACTAAGATTTTCTCACCCGGTGCCCACTTCCTCTTACAATAAAATTTTCCTATCGAAGGTCGGTGGTTTTCTCCGGGCACTCCGGCTTCCTCCACCAATAAAAACTGGCCGCCACGAAATAGCCCAAAAAGCGGTGCTTAAAAGTGGCGTTAAAACACCAAAAAATCAAAAATCAAATCTACCAATAAAAACTGCCGCGAAATAGCACAATAGTGTTGAAAGTGGCGTTAATCGACAAATACTCAATCAATCAATTAAATTTATATTCCAACATGCCGCGATATGAATGCTTCAAGACTTACCTGCATGGACTGCATGAGATGAACTAGATCAACGCCAAGATGTTTTTAAATTCACTGTATATATGATGTATAGCACAATTCAAATCAATTCAATTTTTATTTTTTGTCTAAATTTTAAATGCGCATCCAAAAAGTGGCAAAATAATCAACTTATTGATGGTGGCCGCGTATTGGTAGAAGTTGGTAGAAGTACCCTAAGCAATAAATAAATCCGTATTTTTCACCGTAAAAAGTTTAAAATTTATAATATTTATTAGGGAGATAACTCAATTTGCACATAGAATTTCCGATTCCTGTGATTTGCATAACACATGAATTTCTGATATTTGTTTTTATATGTTCTACCATTTTAAACTCTCCATTGATTTCAAATTTATATAAGACAATTTTTCTGGTTTCCACGGAACTATAGATCTAAAAATTCATGAAATCTAAAACCAGCATAGTCGGTCAGTTTTTGAAATCTCGATATTGTAACCTCTTTATAAAGAGATCAGTTGCTCAGACGCATGTTTCTGGCGTTGGAGTTATCAAAAGAAAGCTTATAAAAAGTTGCTGTCCATCAAACTGTTACTGCTTAAATAACCAAAGTATTGCAACATATGTCAAACTTAACCAGTGAGTAAAATAATACAAATTTATATTGACGGATATTTTTATTGGTTACCCTCCCCTTAGCCTTATGCCTAATGGAGCTTCATTTTAGGTTGATCCAGAATTTTAGCTACACATTATGTATAGTTTGGGATCATGGATCAGCATTTGAATTGCAACTTTTGTCTCAGAAAGCTTGACATAGGGATAGTGTACTGGCGGCTTCATACTTTATATATCAGTCAGGGGTACTACATGTACTTGTACAAGTAATCTTTATTTACTTGAAGAAGTAAATAAAATATACTTATATAAGTTAATTATAATGTTTGAATAATCTCCCCTTAATTTTCTCAAAAATTTACTTGTATAAGTAATTTTTTTTTACAATCCCACAAAGTTCTCAAGTTTTGAGATGTAAAAACATGCCTTTAACAATTTTTTTCAGGTTAGCTCATAATTTTTGATTAGAGTTCAATGTTTCATCTCATTAATTCAACAAAGAAACTGATTGCGCAAAGATCTTAAGTATTTGCGCAAGGCCTGCAAAAATTGCCCCTTGGGGGCTTGTAAATGAGCAGTGTTCTGAAGATAACAGACAAATGAGATTTTCATTGTCCATGAAATTACACTTAAATGATTAGTAAAGACATCTGCAAAGGGCAGACAATTAAAAATTCTATAAGAGCAAAGAAGTCCTAAAAATACAAGAAAAGAAGATAGGATGACTTTTTTACTTGTATAAGTAAAAAAATCTGAATGTCTAAGGGACATTACTAAGCCCAATTTTTTTTCTACCTATACAAGTAAATAAAATACACTTGTATAAGTATCCTACAAATTTACTTATATAAGTATATTAATATTTACTTCTTCAAGTAAATAAAAATTACTTGTACAAGTAGTACCCCTGACTGTATATAAATGCCTTATGTTACAAAGTTTCCATCTGTCACATGTCCATTGTCCTAGACCACATTTTCATGGTTCACAGTCACTTAACTTGAATTTTGAATAAAAGTTGAGATTATTTTGTAATGTTAATTTCTCTCCTATTATGAGTAATATAGGATAACTATATTAAGTATGTGCTCACATGTGCATTGCAAGGTCCTCATGCCCTTCACACAGTTTTCACTTGACCTTGACCTCATTAACTGTACACGAGATAACAATAATTTATGTAAATGAGATTACATTTAAGTCAGCTGCACATGAGATAACAAAAGTCAGCTGTATATATATAAATGAGATAATACACAGTTGGCTGTACATCTTTTTAGCTCACCTGACCTGAAAGGTCAAGTGAGCTTTTCTCATCACTTTGCGTCCGTCGTCCGTCGTCCGTAAACTTTTACAAAAATCTTCTCCTCTGAAACTACTGGGCCAAATTTGACCAAACTTGGCCACAATCATCATTGGGGTATCTAGTTTAAAAAATGTGTCCGGTGACCCGGCCAACCAACCAAGATGGCCGCCATGGCTAAAAATAGAACAAAGGGGTAAAATGTAGATTTTGGCTTATATCTCTGAAACCAAAGCATTTAGAGCAAATCTGACATGAGGTAAAATTGTTTATTAGGTCAAGATCTATCTGCCCTGAAATTTTCAGATGAATCAGACAACCTGTTGTTGGGTTGCTGCCCCTGAATTGGTAATTTTAAGGAAATTTTGCCGTTTTTGGTTATCATCTTGAATATTATTATAGATAGAGATAAACTGTAAACAGCAATAATGTTCAGCAAAGTAAGATCTACAAATAAGTCAACTTGACCAAAATGGTCAGTTGACCCCTTAAGGAGTTATTGCCCTTTATAGTCAATTTTTAACCATTTTTCGTAAATTTTTGTAATCTTCTACAAAAATCTTCTCCTCTGAAACTACTAAGACAAATTTAACCAAACTTGTCCACAATCATCATTAGGGTATCTTGTTTAAAAAATGTGTCCGATGACCCCGCCCGTGAACCAAGATGGCTGACATGGCTAAAAAATAGTACATAGGGTAAAATGCAGTTTTTGGCTCATATCTCTGAAACCAAAGCATTTAGAGCAAATCTGATGAGTATAAAATTGTTCATTAGGTCAAGATCTATCTGCCCTGAAATTTTCTTACCAATCAGGCAACCCGTTGTTGGGTTGCTGCCCCTGAATTGGTAATTTTAAGGAAAATTTGCCGTTTTTGGTTATTATCTTGAATATTATTATAGAAAGAGATAAACTGTAAACAGCAATAATGTTCAGCAAAGTAAGATCTACAAATAAGTCAACTTGACCGAAATGGTCAGTTGATCCCTTAAGGAGTTATTGCCCTTTATAGTCAATTTTTAACCATTTTATGTAAATTTTTGTAATTTTTTACAAAAATCTTCTCCTCTGAAACTACTAAGACAAATTTAACCAAACTTGTCCACAATCATCATTAGGGTATCTAGTTTAAAAAATGGGTCCGATGACCCCGCCCGCGAACCAAGATGGCCGACATGGCTAAAAAATAGTACATAGGGTAAAATGCAGTTTTTGGCTCATATCTCTGAAACCAAAGCATTTAGAGCAAATCTGACATGGGGGTAAAATTGTTCATTAGGTCAAGATCTATCTGCCCTGAAATTTTCAGACCAATCAGGCAACACATTGTTGGGTTGCTGCCCCTGAATTGGTCATTTTAAGAAAAGGTTATTATCTTGAATATTATTATAGATAGAGATAAACTGTAAACAGCAATAATGTACAGCAAAGTTAGATCTACAAATAAGGCAACATGACCAAAATTGTCAATTGACCCCTTAAGGAGTTATTGCCCTTTATAGTCAATTTTTTACAATTTTCATAAATTTTGTAAATTTTTGTAAATTTTTACAAAGTATTTTCCACTGTATCTACCGGCCAAGTTCATTTTAGATAGAGATAATAGTAAGGAGCAAGAATGTTCAGTAAAGTAAGATCTACAAACACATCACCATCACCAAAACACATCACCATCACCAAAACACAATTTTGTCATGAATCCATCTGTGTCCTTTGTTTAATATGCACATAGACCAAGGTGAGCGACACAGGCTCTTTAGAGCCTCTAGTTTGATGATGTTTTAATAAAAACTTGATTTTTGACAGATTACAGACTGAGAGTGATAGTACAACTATAAGTAAGATTGATATGGAGGGTGGATTTGAAGTTGACCTGGTCGATGCATTGAAGACAGTGGTTAAAGACAGTGGATGGCAGAGTCTAGGTTCAGTATCAGATTTAAAGAAAAATAAATGTAAAAGGTAATTTGGCATTGAAATTCTAGGTATTCTGATGCTGATTCTGTTCAGTAACAAATCACATATTGTAATTTCAGAAATTATTGCAATGTTTTTAGCTCACCTGGCCCGAAGGGCCAAGTGAGCTTTTCTCATCACTTGGCGTCCATCATCCGTCGTCGTCATCGGCGGCTTCGACGTCGTCCGTCGTCGTTAGCTTTTTACAAAAATCTTCTCTTCTGAAACCACTGGGCCAAATTTAACCAAACTTGGCCACAATCATCATTAGGGTATCTAGTTTAAAAAATTGTGTCCGATGACCCCGCCAACCAACCAAGATGGCCGCCATGGCTAAAAATAGAACATAGGGGTAAAATGTAGATTTTGGCTTATATCTCTGAAACCAAAGCATTTAGAGTAAATCTGACTTAGGGTAAAACTGATTATCAGGTCAAGATCTATCTGCCCTGAAATATTCAGACAAATCTGATATCCTGTTGTTGGGTTGCTGCCCCTGAATTGGTAATTTTAAGGAAATTTTGCAGTTTTTATACGCCCGTTTACGGGACGTATTATGGTATACCGTTGTCCGTCTGTCCGTCTGTCCGTCCGTCCGTCTGTCTGTCCGTCCGTCCGTCCGTCCGTCTGTCCGTCCGTCGTCAACATGTCGGACATTAACTCAAAAATGCTTTAACCAATTTGCATAAAACTTTGGTGAATTGTTTATATCTATTGACGTGAGCTCCCTTTCGTTTTTTATAAATTTTAGATTTTACGTTTCCGAGTTATGGGGTTTTATTCATTAAAAAAAGGGGGATTTTCCAGTTTTCGGACAATAACTCAAGAATGCTTTCACCAACTTGCAAGAAATTGTGGTGAATTGTTTATATCTATTGACATGAATTCCTTTTCGATTTTTATATATTATAGATTTTACGTTTCCAAGTTACAGGGTTTTTTTCATAAAAAAAGGGGGATTTTCCAGTTTTCGGACAAAAAATCAAAAATGCTTTCAGCAGTTCTTATGAAACTTTGGTGAATTGTTTATATCTATTGATGTAAGCTCCATTTAGAATTTTATAAATTTTAGATTTTACATTTCTGAGTTATGGGGTTTTATTCATTAAAAAAGGGGGGATTTTCCAGTTTTCGGACAATAACTCAAAAATGCTGTCAGCAATTCTCATGAAACTTTGGTGAATTGTTTATATCTATTGATGTAAGCTCCCTTTACATTTTCATAAATTTCTAATATGGCATTGAGAATTAATTGAACTTTATTTGTTTATAGTCTGACAACAGATTTACTAAGTATTGCGCAACAGCACAGTGTATTGCACAACAGCAAGAAATCTTTAATTGAATATAAATTCAATTCATATAACCAATTTCAAGTTCTTTCACTACATTTATTCAGAAACCTATAATATGTCAAATATTTAATTACAATCCAAATTCAGACCTGTATCAAGCTTGAATATTGTGTCCACTTTTGACCCAACTGTTCAGGGTTGGACCTCTGCGGGCGTATCCAGCTGCGCTCAGCGAAGCAGTTTATTGGTTATTATCTTGAATATTATTATAGATAGAGATAAACTGTAAACAGCAATAACGTTCAGCAAAGTAAGATCTACAAATAAGTTGCATGACCAAAATTGTCAGTCGACCCCTTTAGGAGTTATTGCCCTTAACTGTCAATTTTTAACAATTTTTTGTAAATTTTTGTAATCTTTAACAAAAATCTTCTTCTCTGAAACTACTGAGACAAATTAATTTAACCATACTTGGCCATAATCATTATTAGGGTATTTAGTTTAAAAAATTTGTCTGAAGACCCGGCCTTCCAACCATCATGGGCGACTTGGTTAAAAATAGAACATAGGGGTAAAATGCAGTTTATATCTCTGAAACTTAAGCATTTAGAGCAAATCTGACAGGTGGCAAAAATGTTCATCAGATTTAGATTTATCTGCCCTGAAATTTTCAGACGAATCCGACAACCCGTTGTTTGGTTGCTGCCCCTGAGTTAGTAATTTTACAAAAATTTTGCAGTTTTTTGTTATTATCTTAGATATCATTATAATACATGTAATATCTAATATCTAATACTATTAATTATGATTTTAACCTTATTTTACATGATTTCCAAAGCATCAGTAAATACAGGTGAGCGACACAGGCTCTTGAGAGCCTCTAGTTATTATTGCAAAAATGTGCTAAGGTTATAATCGCAATGATTTATACTCGCATTTTGGAATTTCTTACATGAATTAAACAGGATTTTTCTCAATATGGCAAAAATTCAAATCGCATTTTAGTCTAAATTGACCAAATCGCAACAATTAATGCACACAATAATTTCTGAATTTACAGTATCATGAGTATTGTGGATTCTTTTGTTTTCGTGGGTACAAATTTTCATGGATTAAGGAAAACTAAAGCATGTTCCTGGATATTTAATTTGGTGTTTTTGCACTTGTCTGCGTATAAGCCAATATCAAATATGTCAATTAGTACAAACAAATAAAAATGAATCCACAGTATTTGATTTATGAAATTAACAATACTGTCATGACCATGATGACTGTTGGTACAATGTACCTATATCGTGCATTGAGAAAAATTGTTTTTTTTGTGGGAATTTGATTTTGTGGTTTTGCAAAAGATTGCATACAACAAGTATTACTGTAAATTCAGAAATTATTGCGATCATTTATTATTGCGATTATGTCATTTTAGACTAAAATGCGATTTAAATTTTTGCGATATTGAGAAAAATCCTGTTTAATTCATATAAAAAATTTCAAAATGCGAGTTTAAATTATTGCGATTATAACCCTGTCGCATTTTTCGCAATAATAAAAACATCGTAATAATTTCTGAATTTACAGTAGCCTATAGAAAATTTGTACTTTGCTGAACGTTAAAGTTCTTGGTTCATCATGTTCATGTTTTTTCACAAAACTTACAGAAGTTGGTATCCTATTATTTATAATTATAAACCCACAGTCATGACAGTAGGTTGCAGGTTTGATAGCACTTAGAGAAGTTACTGCAAAAAAGAAGGATACAAGGGAAAAAAAAAACATTGAAAAAGAGATAAATACAGTCAAACCTTTACATGTAAATACAGGTCATCCTTGCTTCAGACCATGTTTATGATACATAGATATACAGGCGCGTAGCTGCCTTTACGCAAAAAATCATTTGCTTGCACATTTTTTTCACAAAAAAAATTTAAAAATTCTGAAATTGAAATACGGATAGTCTTGAAAGATGAAGAAGCTAGATTTTTATTTTAACAAGAGGGCAGCGGATAACGAAAGCCAAAACGTTATATCTAGTTCGCCTAGCAAAGATGTAAATAAGCCATGTACGTCGAGTTGACAAGACGTTACTGCAAAGAAAATAACATTGTTTGACCCCCCTTATCCTGATATGTCTAACCTGACAAATGATGAGTTGTCAAAACATGAAACAAAAGTCAACCTACTGCAGCATAAATGGGAGCCAAACTCGTCTGGAAACTACTCTTTTCCATCTAGGAAATTAGAATATGAAAAAAACAATTTTACTTTTAGATGTTGAGATATAGTAACGGGGGTAATACACCACCCCCTTCCTGTAGTAATTAACTTAGTCCGCTTCTGGTCTACATATACCAAGAATTTACATTTTCAACATAAACACAAAGGTCTTCATTTTCACAAGCATTTTAGTCTTACATGCAGTATTAACATTTAATAATACATGTGCAGGCTCAATACAATCACCTTGAAAACATCTTAGATTTATATCTATCCCTTACTTTGAAGTCAAGACTTAAAAGTGGCCGTTCGATTTCGTATTCCCATTGTCCGTTCGTCCAAAAGACTATTGATTCACCTGGGGTATCTGTGTCCCGAATGACCTTCTACCGTTGTCGTAGAAACCTCTCTTTTGATTTGAAAATGACCTCATGAGAAACACTACGGGTGTCTTGCAAGAAGCAGGACCTGTTTACCCTTCCGGACTGAGCACCGGAGGTCGCCACATTTTTTTTCGGGGTCCGTGTTTTTCATCTGTATTTAGTTTTCAATGTTGAACGTTTTTGTTTGTCCTTTTGTGTCTTATCTGTACCCGGGTTTGGCATGTGTCCACTGATTGACTTTGCCCTTCTATTGATTAACGCTTCGGTTGTCGACTCTACCTGATCTTCCCGTTTTTTAAAATTTATTTTATATTTGAAAATAACCATGTTAATAATATAAGCAGCAAATTACGGACCTCACTAGAATTTTACTATCGTTTCATAAAAATCTGGTATAGTAAGAAACAGATAGGGTATTTTTCATGTTCAAAGCAGTCACTGTAATTACTCATATGCCCGAAGCTTCTGAGGGATTCGCTTTCCTGGACCACCGTCTAGGGTGCTGCCCTGAATCCCCGACCATGGTGCTACCCTGGACCAGCTGGGGACTTTGAGCGGTCCATAGCCCCCTCCCTTGCCGAATCACTATAAAGTCCACAAGTATTCACAAAATAGGAGTTTGGACGTGAAGGAGTGATGTAAATTACATAAGCATGGCATACCAGGAAAATGCCCGAAAAAATTATCATTTTCTGCATAAGATGGTCCAAAAAAAATCTTCGCCACGCATCGCTCGGCGATAGTAATGATTGCACTTTATTTTAGTCCAGCTACGCCCCTGATATAAGAAGATGTGGTATGAGTGCCAATGAGACAACTCTATTTCCAAGTCATAAGGCCAATTAAAATTAATTGATAGATTTTCATCCCCGCCCGCCCCTCTGAAATCGTTCCGCCCCAATTTTTTTTATTTTGAAAAAAATACGATTTCCGGATTTTGTTCATTTTCGTTACCGGTAACTATCGATAATTTCGTTTCATTAATAACATCCTGTTTCAAATTTTGGTTTTTGCATTTCTTTGTATGTTTGATTCGTTATACATGTATATACATGATAGAACCTTATTATTACACTTGCATATATGAAGAACACGTCACAAGAGCGTTTCATATCTAATAAATAATAAAAAATAAAATCCTCCCACCCACCCCATTTTTTTCAAAAATTTGGATGAAAATCTACTAATTAAATTTACTTGGCCTAATGTGTAAAAAGTATACAATTAAAGTCAAACGACAACTACTGAACATCAGGTTCATGTAGGTAATACAAAACAGGATTTCACTTAACATGCTTATTCCTTAATAGAGGTGACAGATATACCAGGTTAGACTTTATATAAATTGCATTTTTTAATGAGAAATAAAAGAAAAAAATTATTGTCAACAAGTTTATTTGGTTACAGTAAACATTTTTGTACATATTATCTCTAAAAAGATTTTAATGTTGAAAGATAGAATAGAAAAATCATTAAAGGAATATAATTCATATAGTCATGATGGTCTTGATGGTATTGGTAGGTAGAAAGAAAGAGGCCAAACTTATATACAAGCTGTACTTGTACTCATACCTAAAACAAAATTATTACTGTTTTGTAGATTTACACCTTATAATTAATGCCGTGAATGATACATTTTTTTATCCTTGATTTGTTAAGATCCAATTGCTAAAAGACCCTTCTCTGAAATTATTAAAACCTATCATCTTGTTTATGCCCTTTGGGGCCCATAATTGGAAATAAAAAAAAAAATAAAATAAAAAAAATAAAATGTATTCAACAATCATATCATGGTGTATATTAGATACACCCCTCAGGCTATCACTCTCAGGGGTACATCTAAAACTTGTTACCCTCTCTTTGGTATATCTTATACTGGTTACCTACAGGTTTTATGCTGAAGATGGAGAAGACGTAGTATTGATTTATGTACCAGGGCAAAATACATTTTATTGTATGGATGCAGCATGTTCACATGAAGGTTAGTCTGATATTTTATTTGATTTTTTTATACTGTAATGTCTGGACCATGATTTACAGAATACGGAAAAATGGCCTAAATATAGCATATATATACATGATACATGTATCTACAGAAATTAGGACCCCAATCTACACCTGCATACAGTTTAATCTCATAATTTTCTTGAACCCTACATAAGTGCATAAGGAACATTAAATAAAACTAAATTCTGTATAATCATATAAAATTGAGAATGGAAATGGGGAATATGTCAAAGAGACAAAACCCAACCAAAGAGCAGAAAACAGCCAAAGGCCACCAATGGGTCTTCACTGCTGCAAGAAAATCCTGCACCTGGAGGCAGGCCTCAGCTGGCCCCTAAATAAAATTGTGTACTAGTTCTTTGAAAACGGACATCATACTAAACTTCAATAAAATTATAAAACATACAAGACTAACAAAGGCCAGAGGCTCCTGACTTGGGACAGGCGCAGAAAAATAAACTTTATAGATCAATTTTATTCCGTTGTTACATTGATTTCTCAACATTTTATATAAATGCATTTAAAAAAAGAAACGGTTTTAGTAAGTTTGAGTATATGATAGGTAATAAAAATAAAATGAAACATTTTCACTTCTCAATATATTGGAATTTCCCAAGCGAAAAATTGGGTTGGAATATAATCCCATATACTAATTATTCAGTGTTGGTATTTTACAAGGATAGAGTGAGTTTGAAGTTGTGTTGGATATTAAACATAGGAGAAAAGGTAAAAAAGAAACAGAGGGGGTTTTAATTGGAATACTAAAAGTGTTTAATGATGTATAAGCTAATATGATTACTGTGGATTCGTTTATTTACATGGGTGCCAATTTTAGTGGATTGAAGACAACTTGCATTTTTGTGGATATTTGATTTCGTGGTTTTGCGTAAATTCCTATACAAAATCTGTAATTTGTTGGACATTTGAATGTGTGGTTCCCTGGTTACCACAAAATCCACGAAAATTGGTATACAATAAAAATTATAATGAATCAACAGTATGTGTAATAAATCACTTATATTCGGCACTAAATAAAATAGTAGACATTAAATGATCTATACATATGTATTTTTTTTTATGTTTTATGACAGGTGGACCACTGGAACAGGGTGACATAGAAGACTTTGATGGAGAACTGAAGATTGTCTGTCCATGGCATAGTTATGATTTTGACTTGAAAACAGGAATCTCATCCTCTGGATTACATGTAATATTTTGTTTTGTTGTTTTGTCCTCGCACAGGAATCGGAAATTCTATAAATAAAATTCTGTAAATAACAAAGTCTACTATCAGAAAAGCTTCTCTTAATCTCTAAAATTACTGTAGATAAACAATATTTATACATATTTATTAATGTGCTTAATCTGCCTTTACCATCTAGAAACTTTATTGTTTTTTCGGGGGGATTTGCCTGCTATTAAGGCCACCCACTGTCCAGCCCCTCCCCCTGTATTTGACACTTCAATTGAAAATATGTCTGTTTTACATACTTTAGGGAGTAGAATGAATCTTCTATAATAATCTTTCCCAAATCCTCTTGAAGAAAAAATGGACAGAAAATTTGTTCTACAGACTGAATGCTAGGTTTAATGCCTTTTTTACTCTAGGAAAATACGATAGCTACGAGAAGCTCTACTGAAAGTCAACTTTATATTTACAGAACTTTATTGATGTAATTTCTGATTAAGGAGAAGCTTTTCTGATAGTCGACTTTGTTATTTACAGAATTTTATTGATAGAATTTCCGATTCCTGTGCTCCTCTTTAATCTGATCTGAATATAATGGCCCACAAACAGAGTTATTTCTGTTATAGTCCATTTCTTTAAGACAAAAAATGCAAATTAAAAAAATCACACTAATTCTTGTACTATCCAAAAATGATTTTAACAGTGTAGTGTACTACTTTTCTGACAAATTATGTCAAAATTATAGAAAAGTTTATTTGCTCTAACTCAATTAAGTTAAGGGGTCTGAATTTAGTTTGACGGCTCCAGACATAAGGCCAAAAAAAAAAATGTCTGTTTAAGGTTACATACTTTAAAAAAATAGGGTAGGTAGGTTGGTATTTTCATTTTATTTTTTGTGACATGATTATGAGTCATGCGGTTTCGTCTTGTCGTGGTCCAGGTTGATCATGGGCCGAGTTTACCCGCATTTTTAATGATTGGATTATTTCCCTTGGTTATTGGTTGGAAAAAAATGGCGGCAAAGTGTTTATTTCATCACACGAGTCGCGAATTTCCTTAAAACAGCTATCATATTCACGATTGTGAACATTGGGATGTATCAGGCAATTGATTTATATTATTGGCAACACTAACTTCACTTTTGACACGAGTTCAGTTTATTTTTCACTTTACGACAAATTTAAAATGACTTAGGGTCGGTCTGGTAACCGTAAACAGACATATATTTTTTTTTGGCCTAATGATGTTTGTCCTTTTCAAACTAGACCAAATTACTATTTTACCAAAAAGTTGATGTCCCAATTTTTTTACATGTAATGTCATCCCCATCTTACCTTATGCATGGATAAATATAACAAAATAAATTTGGAAGGTGTTTGAAAAATAATTATACACTTTCCATACTAGTGACTCTATTTGTAGACAATGAAAATCAAAGGACAATAACTGTCCTTGAACCTAAAAGCATATTACATTGAGGGACCAAGTATTTTTGCGCCTGTCCCAAGTCAGGAGCCTCTGGCCTTTGTTAGTCTAGTATCATTTTTAATTTTAGTTTCCTGTGTATAATTTGGAGTTTAGTTTAACGTCCATTATCACTGAACTAGTATACATATTTGTTTAGGGGCCAGCTGAAGGACACCTCCGGGTGTGGGAGTTTCTCGTTGCATTGGAGACCCATTGGTGGCCTTCGGCTGTTGTCTACTCTATGGTCGGGTTGTTGTCTCTTTGACACATTTTCCATTTCCATTCTCAGTTTTAAGTAGTTCATCTGCTGTATCACTGGTTGTGAGTTTGAACCCTGCACAAGGCAGGTGTTTTAGACTTCAATATGATTGACTGGGATTTCTAGTTTTTAATGCCGAATATATGATTGATTGATTGTTGGTTGCTTAATGTCCAGTGGCAAATCCGAATATATGTGAGTCAGGCTTCTGCCACCAATAAAAACTATCTGATTTAAAAGCCATTAGTGCTGAAAGAGGCATTCAAAACCAAATAATCAAACATTCAATACGTTGCATTGACCCTGGTTTATCTGTCCATTCATCCAACAAATATTATGGTCACACATTGTTCATGTATTACAGTACTTTTATTGAACAGAATAACTCCATATCAGTCAGCAGCTTGACCAGTCAAGGGTATAACTTTAATAAGTTATTAGAAAAAAAAAAACATACATGTCGTTATTATATCCAAAAACTGTGATAACATATGTATGTTACATGTTTCAAAGTGGCAATATACATCCTTTGTTTTGTTGAAATGTATACAAGTTCTATTGACATTGTTATTGTCTTAATGTGTACTAAACTTTAGTAAGATATAATAGTTCATAGTTTGATAATTATGTATAGTACAGTACTAAGTACACCTATGTTATAACAGAAAAAATATGCCTGTAATAACTAAAGGACTTCTCTACATAACTTCAAAGCCTTTACTCAGACATAAATCATGCTTAATCACAATGTATTTTAATTTATTGTAAGAAATAATGATCAGAGCATGTAATGAGATTCTGCGCAAGCTTCCAAGTAATTACCAAGTGTCTCATATATAATAATAATATGTAATAAGTTACATGCCTGTAATAACTACATCCTTGTTATTACAGCTAAGTTTAATGGCTTGAAATCCTTGTCTCATTGATTTACCATGGTTGATTAAAAATTTATTAATACTGATTATTTGAAAATTAGTTATCAAGGCTATGTATCAAGTTATATTTTTGCGCAAAGTTTCAAGAATTCCCAAGTCCGCACCAATTTAAAAAAATGATTAGTTAACAAATAACAATCACATGTTACTACAGATGAAGAAAATTTTAGAAACAAGAGTAGACAACTCATGAAATTATCTGTAATAACAACATGTATGTTATTTTCTCTAAAAACTTATTTAAGTTATAACCTTGACTGTTGACACTAATGAATTATAATTTCTGCGCACTCAAACGATTTTTTTTCAAATTTTATATTACATGTCAGTACTTTCATTATTTATTGATGTACAAATATATTTATTTATTGCATTGATTTTGATATATTCACAATGTTTACAGTTCTAAGATGAACAGATAGAAACATGAAACTGACATTTTTATTTCTTTATTTAGCAAGAAGTATATCAAGTAGAAGTCGTAGGAGACAAAGTGTATGTGAATTACCCTGAAGACTTACATACAAAACCAAGTAAAGTTAGTCCTGTATCTACTAGTAAGGGTAAGCAATAGTGTACAGGATATAATTTTATTTTTCAAAATGATAAAAATAAAATTTTTATGATTCCTCTTCTGCATAGGAATAAGAAGATGTGATATGATTGCCAAGGAGACAGGTTTTTACCAGAGACCATTTATTAGGGTTTTATTTATAAATATGTAGTATTTTACTTCATTATCAACCTATAGAATTTATTTTACACTGCAACTCATGTAGACCTGGTTCCAGTCGAAGGTCATATTTCTCTCCTGGCACTTCAGCTTTCTCCACCAATAAAAATTGCCGCCTCAATGAATTGACGCTGTTGAATGACCTATGGCTAATTAGATATTTATTCAGGACAAGAATATGATGATGTGATATGAATATCAACTTTGCTTTGTACACAATACAAAAAAAATACATGCTGAATCTCAAATCCCCCCACCCCCTTTCCCCAAAAAAAAATAAAGCACCCTTTCCTGACTCCAGAAAAAAAATCATTGACTCTGGATACATGTTAAATCCCAAATTCCAGCACAAATAAAGGCCCAATCTCTATGTCTAGATAAAAGGTCATTCACCCTAACTGAATGGTACGAATTTTCATCTTTAGAAACACAGAAATGTACTTTTGTTCAATTGCCAGCAATTTTCATTGGTTTATTTTGTGAAATTTTATTCTGCATGTATTGTTTCACATAAATTTTACAGCAATGGAAGTTTTATGTTAGCTAAATGTATTGCTCTCATCTCTGTTAGTTTTCAGGTAATGAACCAAAGACAGCAGAAAGTATGGAAGATACAGACACACTTAGTTATTGGGCTGTTAAGATTCTCAACACAGGAGACCCTGATGAAAAGGTTAGTCTAGTTTTAATGTCAGATACCCTTAGTTATTTGGCTGTCAAGATTCTCAACACAAGAGACCCTGATGAAAAGGTTAGTCTAGGTTTAATTTCAGATACCCTTAGTTATTTGGCTGTCAAGATTCTCAACCCAAGAGACCCTGATGAAAAGGTTAGTCTAGGTTTAATGTCAGATACCCTTAGTTATTGGGCTGTTAAGATTCTCAACACAGGAGACCCTGATGAAAAGGTTAGTCTAGGTTTAATGTCAGATACCCTTAGTTATCTGGCTGTCAAGATTCTCAACACAGGAGACCCTGATGAAAAGGTTAGTCTAGGTTTAATGTCAGATACCCTTAGTTATCTGGCTGTCAAGATTCTCAACACAGGAGACCCTGATGAAAAGGTTAGTCTAGTTTTATGTCAGATACCCTTAGTTATTGGGCTGTCAAGATTCTCAACACAGGAGACCCTGATGAAAAGGTTAGTCTAGTTTTATGTCAGATACCCTTAGTTATTGGGCTGTCAAGATTCTCAACACAAGAGACCATGAAGAAAAGGTTAGTCTAGGTTTAATTTCAGATACCCTTAGTTATTTGGCTGTCAAGATTCTCAACACAAGAGACCCTGATGAAAAGGTTAGTCTAGTTTTAATTTCAGATACCCTTAGTTATTGGGCTGTCAAGATTCTAAACACAGGAGACCCTGAAGAAAAGGTTAGTCTAGGTTTAATGTCAGATACCCTAAGTTATTGGGCTGTCAAGATTCTCAACACAGGAGACCCTGATGAAAAGGTTAGTCTAGGTTTAATGTCAGATACCCTTAGTTATTGGGCTGTCAAGATTCTCAACACAGGAGACCCTGATGAAAAGGGTAGTCTAGTTTTAATGTCAGATACCCTTAGTTATTTGGCTGTCAAGATTCTAAACACAGGAGACCCTGATGAAAAGGTTAGTCTAGGTTTAATGTCAGATACCCTTAGTTATTTGGCTGTCAAGATTCTAAACACAGGAGACCCTGATGAAAAGGTTAGTCTAGATTTAATGTCATACCCTTAGTTATTTGGCTGTCAAGATTCTCAACACAGGAGACCCTGATGAAAAGGTTAGTCTAGGTTTAATGTCAGACACACTTAGTTATTGGGCAGTCAAGATTCTCAACACAGGAGACCCTGATGAAAAGGTTAGTCTAGGTTTAATGTCAGATACCCTTAGTTATTGGGCTGTCAAGATTCTCAACACAGGAGACCCTGATGAAAAGATTAGTCTAGGTTTAATGTCAGACACACTTAGTTATTGGGCTGTCAAGATTCTTAACACAGGAGACCCTGATGAAAAGGTTAGTCTAGGTTTTATGTCAGACACACTTAGTTATTTGGCTGTCAAGATTCTCAACACAGGAGACCCTGATGAAAAGGTTAGTCTAGGTTTAATGTCCAATACCCTTAGTTATTTGGCTGTCAAGATTCTCAACACAGGAGACCCTGATGAAAAGGTTAGTCTAGGTTTAATGTCAGATACCCATAGTAATTTGGCTGTCAAGATTCTCAACACAGGAGACCCTGATGAAAAGGTTAGTCTAGGTTTAATGTCAGATACCCTTAGTTATTGGGCTGTCAAGATTTTCAACACAGGAGACCCTGATGAAAAGGTTAGTCTAGGTTTAATGTCAGATACCCTTAGTTATTTGGCTGTCAAGATTCTCAACACAGGAGACCCTGATGAAAAGGTTAGTCTAGGTTTAATGTCAGATACCCTTAGTTATTTGGCTGTCAAGATTCTCAACACAGTAGACCCTGATGAAAAGGTTAGTCTAGGTTTAATGTCAGATACCCTTAGTTATTGGGCTGTCAAGATTCTCAACACAGGAGACCCTGATGAAAAGGTTAGTCTAGGTTTAATGTCAGATACCCTTAGTTATTGGGCCGTCAAGATTCTCAACACAGGAGACCCTGATGAAAAGGTTAGTCTAGGTTTAATGTCAGATACCCTTAGTTATTTGGCTGTCAAGATTCTCAACACAGGAGACCCTGATGAAAAGGTTAGTCTAGGTTTAATGTCAGACACACTTAGTTATTGGGCTGTCAAGATTCTAAACACAGGAGACCCTGATGAAAAGGTATTGTGTGTATGCCTTACCCTAGAAATTAGTAGTATGGTGTAAATAGAACGTGTTACTAAATATAGCTACTGTAAACCACCAAATTTGTGGAGCAATATATTTTTCTTCAACTTTTGAGATTAGAAAAATAATGCCAATGCAGATCCTTCTGTAAAAGTTTGTCTATTTAAAAGTATATATAAATACACTATTTTTAGAACATTTACTACGTAAAAAAATCAAAAAAAATAATAACCACAAAGTCTGCCAAAAAAGACCAATAGGTGACATAAAGTAAGAGTGAAAACAAATAGACGTATTTACACATTTGGGAGGCATCACTTTTACACTCTCTAGTTATGACCATTTAAAAAAAATGATACTTTTGTATCAAGTGTTTTGCATATTTTTACAAAGAATAAAATGTTGTTGTAATTATATTTATCTACATTTCTTTAAGATCAGGTTAACATTTGATGTTGGTGAAAAATGGCAAAAAAGGGAGATAACTACACTTGGTCACATGATTCCACCTGACCAACCAAAACGTGCTGACCAGCTGAATATTGTAGCTCCTGGAAAAGAAAAGAGGAGAGGAAAAGGTGGAAGTCTGGTAATTATCATATTTTTTTTACTTCTGATTCAAAAACAGTATAAATTTATTTTAAGCCAAACCAAAAGATAAAACAAAATATATTAAAATAGTGTATTGATAAAAAGTGGTATAAGATATAAATGTCAATGGTCAATAACAAAAAAACATTCACATTATTTGATTAAAATATCAATGAATTCAACACTGATAACTGCAAAAATTATATAGAAATATGTCATCCCTCAATGGTTCTCTTCCAAATGGCATCAAAACCCTAGCCAAAGTGGGGCATATATTTTGCTATGCTTAATGTCTACATTTGCAGCTATGTCTGCTCAGAATAGGGATGTTAAGTCCATTGACTTGTATAGAGGAGTCAGGGTCTCTGCATGTTAAGAACCCTTGCAACATGGTTAGAAAGGGACGGCGGTGGCCTGTTGTAAGGCTTAATTTCTGTCCATATCCAACATACCCTTATTTCCCCCCATCATTCTGATCCAACTCCTATTGTAGGACTAACCAATTGCATCTGTTATTGTCCTGAACATACATAAAATATTTCCCACTGGACACAAAGAAAACCTCATATAATCATCAATTACTTATTCATAACTTAAAGAAAAAAGGAAAGTGGCTTTAATTTATTTTATGCTGATTGAACAGAAATTTTTGACATTTACTGTAGATTTATTTATTTTTGTGGGTACCATTTTTCATGGATTGAGGAACACTTGCCTTTTTGTGGATATTATTTTTTGCGGTTTTGCCAATAAATGCATACAAAGCCTACAGAAAAGTTTTTATTCATTGAACATTTTAATTTGTGGTTCACCTGTACCCACGAAACCTACCAAAATTGGTATCCAACAAATAATAATGAATCCACCGTACACTAATATTTTACTTGTATTTTGACAGGCTAGCAGAATATCCAATCTGCATTCCCTAGCTAATATAGAACAGTGGGCTGTAGATTTATCGTGGGATATTGTTGTTAGGTTTGCCCATGTGACTGTGAATGGTCAACAGTTACCACAAGAATTCTTTGATGACTTTATACAGGTGGCAATAGATGAGGCAAAGGTAATACTACTGTAAATTCAGAAATTATTGCGATGTTTTTATTATTGATTAAAATGCAACAGGGTTATAATTGCAATAATGTAAACTTGCATTTTGAAATTTTTTATATGAATTAAACATGACTTTTACAGGATTTTTTCAATATCGCAAAAAATTTAAATCCCATTTTAGTCTAAAATAACAAAATCGCAATAATAAATGCACGCAATAATTTCTGAGTTTACAGTAAGGGCTATTCCAGAAAAAAATGTATGGGGGGGTTGGAAGGCAGTTTTTTTCAGCACCCGCCACCCAGACAATCGTAATTTAGAATCAGAGTGCACTATATATGTGAAAAGTTGCTCTGATACCCATGACCCATGTATTATTAATATAAAGTGCCTTCCAACCCCCCCCATACATTTTTTTCTGGAATAGTCCTAATTAATACAGGGAAATTTGCTGTAGCATATATGAAAAAAAAAAATTTTTGCATTGGACCAATTTGGTAAAGCAGAATAAAGGGTTTAGGCCATTTTTGATACCTACATGTATAAATGTTTAGAATGAAAATAATTAAGCAGTTTCATTCTAACTATTTATTTTAGAAGTATATTTGCCAAATAAAAACATACAAGTTATATTTTTCTTTATTTCCTTACATTCACTTATTTGAGTAGAGGTTATTGCATAGATATAGATATAAGAAGATGTGGTATGAGTGCCAATGAGACAACTCTCCATGCAAGTCATAATATGTAAAATTAAACCATTATAGGTCAAAGTACCGAGTTCAACACTGAGCCTTGACTCACACCGAACAGCAGGCTATAAAGGGCACCAAAAAATAACTAGTACAAACCATTCAAACAGGAAAACCAACGGTCTAACCTATATAAAAAACGAGAAACGAGAAACATTTATGAACCACATCAACAAACAACAATCACTGATCATCAGGTTCCTGACTTAGGACAGGTGCAAACAAATGCAGCGGGTTTAAATGTTTCAATAGTTACCAACCTTCACCCTTATCTGAAACAATGGTGTAACACAATACATAGACACACTATAAAATATCAATTAAAATGGCTTAACTCAATCAAAAGACATATGAAAAAAAACAAGTGAATATACACTGAACTAAAAAATTTAGTTTAATACCGCCACAATTTGTATGCGCCTTTTTTATATCATGTTTGTTGACTCTTTTCAGCACTATGGTATGATAAGTACACGACTGAAAGCTCTTGGTAGTCATTTTGGAGCTCTTCCTGTTCATAATGGTTTGTAAATGTTACCATCATCTTATTATCTAACAAGGCTGCAATATGTAGTAGTACATGTATTATGAATGTTAAAGGGTGCAATCTATATCAATAAATCTAAAGAAATCATATGAGGGCAGTTCTTAATTTGATGCATAAGTGGTTTCGGGGCACTTTTCAAATTTAGACCCCTTCCACCCATATAATATTGTTAATTCTTACAAGGTTCTAAGGAACATGACCCACCAATATTTGGTTATTTTAAGTGCATCCTATCCCCCACTCTATAAAGTTTGGAACAGCCCTGATATATTATAATTTGATAAAGTCAACATACAAAGGAGAGAAATCCATATTATTACCTCCCCTAATTAATACTCTTTTTCTAATTATGCATGCAGTGATGACACTGAAACAAATACAAGCATGCATTCATTGGTATTTCCTTTGACATTAAGTTGCTTAAAACAATAACATATTCTTAGAGAATAAATCAAAATAATAGGTGTATCCTCTAATTAACAAATCTATGATTTTACAAAGGGAGTTAACTTTTGTACCAATTTCATTTATAACATTCGTCATGGTTATAATAAGATGAGAAGAAGTGGTATTATAGCCAATGAGACAACTCTCCAGAAGAGACCCAATGACACCACAATTCACAACTATAGATCACTGTACGACCTTCAACAATCAGTAAAAACCTGTACCGCATAGTCAGCTATAAAAGGCCCCGTAATGACAAAATGTAAAACAAATGTTTTTTTCAGCCTGTACATGGATTTCATTACTTACACAGAGTAAGATGTTGAACAACTGCTTTATTGTGTTTTAGTAAATTTTAAAGTTTTTTTATTTTTAGCGTTATGGGATTCTGCCACAGATACTTCTGATAGTTTACTAGCAAGACTTGCTATAGTTCATATGGTATATGAAGCAAGGTAATTTCATACTAGATATTTAGAGTACGGTTATTTTTTTATGCCCCCATCATAGGAAACAGGTGCATTAAGTGTCATCCTTGACAGTGCATACTTCCATCTTTCCATCTTTCCGTCATTTCATATTTCCATCTTTCTGTCTGTCGTCCAAAGCTTAAGTTTATGTCATAAGACAAATTCTTCTTTTTTTATATTAAACATGAGAAAAAAAGGAAACATATGATAAAAAATATTTTGATTTTAATACCCAGAAAGTATTGTCTTGCAAAGGTAGCAGTCAAAGATTCAACAATTGGAATGATTAGTACAATGCAGTGATAGAATACACAGCCGACTTTAGGAAATATTGGTATTTGTCTAATATTTGTTTAGTTCACAGTAAGAATTTTACACTTAGTGAACAGTTCACTGTCTCTATAAATGAATTGTACAAGGTTGTCATTTATGAAAATTAAAACAGCTTATATTTAACCAGCTCTCTAAGGACATACATAACCAAGAAAAAAACTCTAATGTGAAAATAGCATTATAAATATTGTTTACAAATGTATTTTTTTTCAACATCGAAATTTGAATCCATTCATTTAGGCTGTTCTCATTCTTAGGTTAACTCACACTTTTGACAGGCTTTTTAATTTTAAATGCATTGAACTTTTCAGGGGTCTAGATGTACAACCAAAGACTCTAGAAAAGTTTGCTAAGAATAACGATCCAGAATCTGTGAAAGTTTTAGAAGTTATTTATAGAGATGAGATCACACATGTTGCAGCAGGTCTCAAATGGTTTACTTACATCTGTAAAAAAACTCAACCACCATTGGTAGGTGTTTATAAACTGTAAATTCTGAAGTTAATGCATGCATTTATAATTGCGAAACAACAAATTACGTGCAAAAATTTTCGATCTTATTAATGCAATGCAAAATTTTTTTTTTAAGATAATCACTATTGAAATTATGAATGTAAGTTTTCATCATTGCGAACCTGATACTATTGCATTTTTTGCATTGATAAAAAGACTGCAATATTTTTTGAATTTACAGTATGTACAGAAGGATGTTTATGATTAAGCAACATAATCATTCAACCACACATCTAGGGTTCATTTATGAAATAGGCTCTCTTTCATCAGTTCACTCCAGTAAATACGCTCAGCATGGCCTCTGAAAATTGGCCTGTTTACAATGAAAATAAGACTCTTTTGCACAGTATATTGACTTATAATACTATAATCTTGCACAATAATATGCAGGCATGATTAGAAATAAGTTTGGATGGCAAAGTACTGCATTACCTGGAAATATTAACAAATATAACTTCTTATGCATGCTTGCAAATTTTAATGAAAAGGTCTTTAGTTGGGAAGTCTTTCTTAAAAGGGGCTCACTACAGGAAACCAGAGTACCCACAAACAGTATTGATACAATGTAAACCAGTTTTACAAAAAAGATAGCATTAATCACTCCTCTCCAAAAATATTGAATTGTCAACAGTATAAGATGTATAATTATACACCCAGCTATAAACAAAAATTAGGAGCATATCTCATTCACCTGTGTACTTGTCAGTCTGACTGTCTATTTGCCTTTTTAGTGCTATTCTTTCTAAAAGGCTAGATATTTATGTTACTTTACACAGTTGTAGAACACAAGTCTACCAGAGGCAGTGCATAAAAGTATATAATCCCAGTCCTGCATGTTAAAGGGGTGATAATCAAATTTACTATCATCAATTCTACGATATGTGGTGATAGTCTCTTGTAAGTGTAACTCCTCTTGAACAGCTAGACAGATATTGATGTTACTTTACACAGTTATAGAACAGTAGTCTACCCGAGGAAGTGCATAAAGGAATATAATCCCAGTCCTGCATGTTAAAGGGGAGATAATCCAACTTGTTTACTTTCCTGCCTTAAAGTTGAAGGGGAGACAGTCAAACTTACTTCAATATTACAATGTGTGTGAATAGTCTCTTTTAAGAGCAACTCCTTCAAAACAGCTAGACTGATATTTATGAAACTGTACACAGTTGTAGAACACCACCTGAGGATGTGCATATATATAATATAATACAGGTTTGACATTTTCAATGGGATATAATTAAATTTTGCTAGGCAAGGAGTATCTTTGTGCAAATGTATGATAATGTTTGAAATTAAAGAACTACATAACTAATTAATAGATTTATTTTATCTTTACAGGACTGTATACCAACATTTCATGAATATGTGAAGAAATATTTTAGGTAGGTAGATTTCATACATGTATCTATTGAACTTCTTATTTAAGAATGCTGTACACCATGAACAGTTGTGAATTTAACGAAATTTTTTTTGGTTCCCAGATTTTAATATATACTTTTATGAATAACAAAAATTAGATATTGTCAGTTTCATAAAATTTTATAAAATTTTGTTTGCATTAGGCCCTTGCTTTTTGTTGACAGGGTTTGTGGGAGTCCTAATATCTCTTCATGTTGTTATTTATTTAAAGGTTCATTGGTATTATTTAACTGACAGAGATCTTTTAAGATTACAGTAAGAAATGTTTATAGGTTACGTATATATTCTTGCAACATATCACAATACTCTAAAATAGAAAAGAAAGAGAGAAAAAAAACAGTACATATGCAGAAAAATAAAGTGCTTATTATTTTTTCATTTTCAGATCTTATTTGAAGCCACCATTTAACACAGAAGGAAGACAGACTGCAGGAATGTATGAAGAGGTAAAAGTTGAAATTTTAAGACATCCTATTTTTTGGGTTACCGTGTTTCAAAACAGGTTGCTTGGTTTATTTATTCTAAAATGAACTCTGCTTAGCTCTTTTCATAACAAATCTTACAGGTAAACTTGTAAAATTATAATTGTTCACGACTTACTAGTGTATGTTTTAATAATGTATTGTAAAAATGGGGACAGGTTTCTTTTTTTTTTTTGCAATCTTTAGATAAGGTGAAAAAACTGAGTCAGAAAACCACAAAAAATTATCTTTTAGTAGTTCCAATTAATAAACAATTTGAAGATAGAATGATGTGGTGTAATTGCAAGTAAGACAACTATCCAACAGAGTCAAAATGATGTGGATTTAAGCAATTATAGTTCACTTAACGGCCTTCACCAGTGTTTAAACCGAAATCATTAAGTCAGCTTTGATAGGCATGACATACCAAAATGTAAACCAATACAAGAGAAAAAATCACTGCCTGATTAATAACAAAACAGTTAACAAAAAACACTCAATTTTAACAGACAGCAACCAATGACAACCACTGAATTATAGGATCCTGACTTTGGACAGGTATATATAGAATGTGGTTGGGTTATACATGTTTGTGAGCGCTCAGCCCTCCAATGAACCTGGACAAGAGGTGTAACAGCATAACAAAAGAATGAACTGTAAAAAGCAGTTGAAAATGACTTGACTCATTATATTGTCAGCACAAAGCACAAAAACAACTAACTTTAAATAGAAAAGACAAAAAGTGCAGATGTAAGAGTACTCACAGTTACTGAAAGCTAATTCAAAGTCAGTTACGACTTATAAATAAATCATGTTCTAGGAAACTAAAATATCAACCATTATACATCCAATGGAGTTAGATTGAAGATATGTATATGCCTTCACTTATAATATAAAATAGCCATACTAATAAACTGAGTGTGACCATATGGAACCAAAAGGACAAAGCCTTTAAAAAATAATAAGAATAATCATGTCTCAAATCAGAAACCCTGTTTTTATTACTGTGGCTTCATTATTTTTCATGGGGTACTGTAAACTCAGAAATTATTGCGATTTTGTCATTTTAGACTAAAATGCGATTTGAATTTTTGCGATATTGAGAAAAATCCAGTTTAATTCAAATAAAAAATTTCAAAATGCGAGTTTAAAGTTTTGCAATTATAACCCTGTCACATTTTTCGCAATAATAAAAACATCGCAATAATTTCTGAATTTACAGCACTAATTTTTCGTGGATTTTGTGGGTGTAGGTGAACCACAAATTTAAATATTCAAAGAAATGCAAATTCCTATAGGCTTAAATGCAGAATTGGTATAAACCACAAAATTAAGTATCTATGAGAAAACACTTGTTCCTGAATCATCAAAAATTGGTAGCCACGAAAATAAATGAATTTACAAAACTTAATTTTATATAATTTTTCTCTTTTCAGTGGTACATGCCTCTTGTGAAACCCAAATGATGAATCTTAGTAGGAATAATCTGTGTCGATAATGATCTGTAACTAGCTCCATAGAAAATGAAGAGAGCATAAAGTGAAATATGTCATATTTGACTTAAAGAAAAAAAAATTATGATCTTTTACTTATGTTAACTTTTATGGAATTTTACCACTTGAATCTTATATTTATAGTGATATTTTATAAGAATAAAAGATTACAAGGCAGAAAAGTTAGTCAAATGCCTGCACTGAATGAGATCTTAAATTATTTGACTTGTGGGCAAAGTCAAATGTATTCAGGGGTAAAAAAATTTGTTACAGCTCACTAGCCAAGGACTTATTGGTAGCAGGATTTTACTAGTCCTGTTGGAAGAATTGCTAGTCCAGAAAAACAGACCTGCTAGCCCGGGCTTTCAAAAAATATTGAGCCAGCCAGACATTGTTTTCTTATTCAGATTTCTATCCTGTAAGACTTAGTAACAAAGGGCATTCATGGCATGGTAATGATCTGAGCATCATAACAATGATTGACATAAAAACGATATTAAACTACAGACTTTTTAAATTTGATGTTCTGACGTAAACTGTTACATTGACAATGCATCGTACGAAATGTTCAACATAAGTGTATAAAAATCTGCCTTTGACTCTTTATTAATGCAATATCACACTGTCAGAACTTTTACATTTATTTTTAGAAAGGACATTTTCCTAATACTGGATATTGACTTGACAAAGGTAAAACAAGGGACCAGAGACAGATACATAAAATCTGAATATTTACAAAGCACAATTGAGTTTAAATAGTTCATTCAACAGTTATTTCTTAAAAAAAAATACTTGAAATGAAAGCAAGACAAAGGTATCAATGATATTTTTAGCATTTTTTAGAATTTGGATGCATAATTAAATCTCACAAACAGGCACACTTGTTAACAAGGTGGTTTTTTCTCACTTAAAAAGATATTTTAATATGTGATATGTATTTCTGATAGGCTAAATCATTTTTACTAAATTAGTTAGATGCAAACAGGTCATATCAATCAATGCATCATACCCCCAGTACCGTTCATTGAAAGTCTTGGCATGAGTAATATACAATACCCACCAGTTCTAAGAAATCCTTATTGAAAGTACGGGAATTGCGTTCAATACAGGATTACAGTCCATCCAGTTATTTGTTCTATTTTTAAAACATAAAAAAAAAGTTCAAATTCCTGTAATCATGGATGAAGGAAGTAATTGAATCCGATTGGCTACAATAAAAATAGTGAGGAAGGGATTTTCCACCGTCTATTTTGTTAATGCCAAGATTTTTTTTTACTAGTCCATCGGGCATATTGGATGACAAGTTTTGATTGCCTGAGGCATAAATGTTCTAGTCCCAGGTGTTGGGGTAGTGGATTTTTCAACCCCTGGTATTTTATGGGATTTTTGTGCTAATTATAGAGAAAGGAGAATTATTAGCATTCTCAGTTACCTATCCATTGAAAAATTCTATGTAAAATTTTATTTTATGACAAAGAGTATGTATGTTCTTAATCATGACTAGAGACATAGTAAATTTTTATCGACTTTCTCGACCTTTCAATAAAAGTCTGTCATGATATTTGCTTTCCAAAAGATTACAATAGAGGTATAGCAGTTGTACTTGATTGTAAAATTTTTTCGATTGAAAAACCCAATTCACATATATGTATGCATGAAAAAAAAAACAGATGAAAAATGAGCAAACAAATATTCCAGGAATAAAAGATGAAGGAGATAACTGTATTGAGTTTTACACTTGGCCTACTTTAAACAGTGTTAAACAGTAATTTGTAACCGTAAACCCAGACAATGATATCATACCAAGAGTAGATTTGGATGAAACAATATTAGTAATTATTTAGAATTTATTTAGCCTGAACAATCTGATAAAGTCAAGATGATCTAAAAGGTGTAATACCACCAAATCATAGTACGTCACATCCGGTTGCATACGAAAATAGGTCGAAAAAAAATATTCCCTTGAATTTGACAGTTGTAGGTAATTGATCCTACATTTCATTGCAGTAAAACATTTCTGAGTCATAAACATATATCTTGGGTATTTCAAAGCACCATTATTTCTTTATTTGGGGTTTCTATAGAATATTTTGGAAACTTGAGGTTACATGGTTACTAAAGCTTGTACACAGGTTAAAAAAGGGGGAAAATTTGATTGGTTAACTTCCAGTGATGGTTATTTTCTTATATGCAATGAAATGTTATGTGAAATTTTTTCTATAGTACTGGACATGATAAAACTTTACTCATGCCAAGTATTTCTTTATTTGAAACAAAGATAAATTCTGCACAATTTTTTGAAAAGTGCAAATTTAACAAAGACTAATAGGGGAAAATCAATGGTGGTATTAGGCCAATTAAAATTAATTGATAGATTTTCATCCCCGCCCGCCCCTCTGAAATCGTTCCGCCCCAATTTTTTTTATTTTGAAAAATTTACGATTTCCGGATTTTGTTCATTTTCGTTACCGGTAACTGTCGATAATTTCGTTTCATTAATAACATCCTGTTTCAAATTTTGGTTTTTGCATTTCTTTGTATGTTTGATTCGTTATACGTGTATATACATGATAGAACCTTATTATTACACTTGCATATATGAAGAACACGTCACAAGAGCGTTTCATATCTAATAAAAAATAAAAAATAAAATCCTCCCACCCACCCCATTTTTTTCAAAAATTTGGATGAAAATCTACTAATTAAATTTACTTGGCCTTACACCTAATACAATTATTCAGATTAGTCAAAAATATTGAGACCAACAAATACTGGATAAATAGTCTTTGGATAGGCCTATCAAGATATTCAATTATTATCATACATGTATTTTTACTGACTTACTTCAGAATTTATAGCTTTTCGTTTTAGGCCTATTTTGGTCATACAGAACCTACAGTTTCTATGTATATCTACATCCCTGGCTTTCAAATATTAGGGTTAGAATGTTCATATTGAAGGTAAATCCAGAAACGTGCTTCAAACGCACAAAATCTATAAAGTGTCTTTTTCATTTTTAGAAAGATCAATTATAGGTCCCTTTGTACTGAATACTAGTATTTCCATTTTGTATGGAAGTGTGCTTGTGCAAAAAAGAAATAATAGAGAAATGTGTTAATACAGTGGCGGATCCAGGGGGTGTTCCCGGCATCTGAAGAAAAAAACGAATTTATTCTAGCACGGATAAATTGAAGCACATTAATTTTAAACACGCTATTATACAGGGGCAGCCACGTTATTCCGACACCCCATTAGTCCGACACCCCATCGGTCCGACACCCCATTAGTCCGACTCCCCTATAGTCCGACACAGAATAATTGGAACAATAATCAATATATAAGAAAGCGTGATGACATGTTTAATTAATATAACAACTGTGTTTGGAACCGAACGTCTTGTCCATCGACTGATGCAAGTTATTAAGGTAGGTTGGTAGACATGTATTTGCTAAAATATTGGTAACTATTCACAAATACAACATATAGAATGATCAAGAGGCGGACCTTGACAATAAACTACGGTGAACATAATTTTTGTCAAACTAGAATATAATTTGTTAAGTTTTTGTCGAAATTACTTGCATTTAGATTCGTGTGTTTTTCTCCCAAAGCAGATAATTAAGAAAGCTATTGAGGCTCTAAGCCATGAATGCATTTCAAATTGAACTCTGTAAAGTTTGACGTGTTTTCCCTAAGGAATATTCTTTGACTATACGAGTTCACAACAACAATATATATATATACCTTATTCTGATAAACCACTGTAGACACAAAGGTACACAGAGGAACATTTATTATATACAATAATACAAAGGTACATGTACGAGCTGGTTAATAGTTATAATGAAAACAACAATTAAACTGGGTAATCAAATAAATAATTTCATTATTTTCTAGACATCTAACAAACGGGGAAATCAGACTGTATGAAATCCGCATGTTGCTTTGTAATAAACCACTTCTGATCCTAGTGAATCAACCTCTTTGTATTTTTCTAGTGACTGTATATGTGATAGAAACATGTCAGTATACAATATTTGTCAACCTAGAGAAGGTACATATGTAAGTTTAATAGAAAAAAAATAAATAGAAAAATTAAACGATATGAAGCAAAGACAAACTCTTGTAATTAGGGGACTAAGGAATATTAAAAGAATTTTTATTTTGATATGTATAATGCAAATAAATCAAGGAATTTAAGATCGGAAAATCTTCTCACAAAAATATGTTGTAATGTCAAGGTTAACAATCAACAGGCACTCGTCTCTGAATTATTTTTTTACCTATATGTATAAAGGAAAAAAAAATGTGCCTGTGTATCCAGTTATTGTGAAATGCCATACATCCACGTGAAAAATATTAAATCTTCGGCTAGAAATATAACAGAATTCTGCCGCAAAGATAATTACTGCACGAGAAAAAGTCTTTTTTTTTAAAGACGAACAAGAGAACAACAAAATGCTCAGTTTAAAATTGGTATTTGCTGCTTTTCTGACTATCTAGCGACATTGATGAAAAAGTGTAAATAAAACTTTTAAATTCTTTTTGGATTTACCTTCACCAGAAAAGCTCAAATCCGAATATTTGAAAGCCAAGTATATTTATTAGCAAGAGCAGAGACTGGTCGCAACTAAGTCGGAAATACAATGTAAAATGTAATTTAATCAATATCCAACTCAGGGTGTAGGTCTGTATAAAGCAGGATACATGTATCCCCTAGTCCGAGGTTGCTCTGATGTCTGATGGCCTATATAGTTTTGTAGAGCCGTCAGACCAATCTCGGACTAGGTGTCTTCGAGTCAATGTGTTGTTGCCCTGAATATAAGTGAAATGTTAAATGTTTGACATTGAGCCGCCACTACAAAATCTCATATTTTTTTTATAGTATTAAAATCGTATTTAACTAAATATCATTCTAACGAAACCTGTAATTATTTGGAGAAAATCAGTAAGAAATTAGGTCAGTTTCAAATTTAGAAAAACACTTGTATCAACTAAACGATAATATCGATAATGACTTTTTTGGAAAAAATAAAAAATGAAAAATAAATCAAAATTAATAGGACTGTTTTGAAAAAATATATATAAGGCAATATCAAGGATAGAATTTTAAGTGATTTTACTATGTGATAAAGCAAAGGACGGAGACATGATAAACTGGTCGTATGTGTGGGCAAGGAAGGGTTCATGTTTTCCCATCTTTTATAAAAAGATACATAATAAATTGGTACATGTAAAGTCTTGTTTTTGTTAAATTTTGTTATTTCTGAGGCGTTCTTGCATCCTAACTCTCATTGTATTCTTGTGTCAATGTCAGAGAATTGTTGTCGGTTGCTAGTTATTTACACGGAACGTGTTAAATTAATTAAAATTTCGACCGGTGATCGATTATTTGTAAAGCGGAAAGAAAAGACAACCGATTATTTTTAACGAGGAAAAATAAAAAACGAATGGAAATAAAAATGTATTGAAAAAGAGTTAGTTGTTTTATGAATATGCAATAATAAACCTAATCGCCGATTTTCCATTTTCATGGCTATTCGTACATGATTGATAATTTTATTTGCCGTGTAATGTCCAGTTGCAAATGTTTCACGTATTTTCGATACAAATTTATTCTGACGGCAAATTTCGTCCGTTTTATCGAGGTTTCAACCTAAAAAAGGGCTTCATATATAGAACCAATTATCATTGATTGAACAATTTTACTTTCGATGTTTCCGAACACAATTTTATACTCCCTTCTTTTCGATTATATTATCAAATAACAACTCGACAACTTTCAGTTTTGAAAGTTTACAATCTTTAAGTTCGTGTACAGTCTAGATGAACAGAGACCATCATCATGATCATGCTTGATAAAAATATTCTTTTCGCATTTTAAAGTGATACTTTTTCGGTAATGACAGTTTCCGAGACTAACTAACGTGAACGATGAGAGACTGCTCTACTGGTGACTTTTCTTAACATTTTCTTTTTAGTGGGGTGTATTTTCCCATAATATACACTGTGTATTAGTTAACAAAAAATTGCAAAGTTCTCGATTGCTTTATTCGCATATGGTCATAGTATTTCTGAAATACCAGCTGAGTGGTATGGTATTATCGGTTTCCGTTTCTTAGATGCAAGAAAGATAGTTGTTCAAATACCATACCAACAATGATTCTATGAAATAAAGTTCTATTACGGCGGTAATTTACCTTCCTTTGTCGGACTATTGGTGTGTCGGACTAATGGGGTGTCGGACCAATGGGGTATCGGACTAGTGGGGTGCCGGAATATCGGGGCGACCCCGTTATACTGACATTGTTTCTTTCCCTTTTTGATATGTAGTTTATGTAGTCAGAAGAAAGTCATACATTATGTATATCACACCAGAGCTACATGTATAGTAGTCTAAGAATAAACTATTTCTTGTGTTTACCTCAATGACGAGAGAGGCAATCGGTTCAAAGCCAGAGACATATCGGAAACCAAAGTTTTTAAAAATTGTTATTTGCAAATCATGCAGCTATTAATTATTAGTGAAAACAGGTAAACTTTTGGTTAGATATAAAGTACAAATCTACTTATCACACATCTCTATGTTTTTTAAAGTGTTGTACATTTTACAATATACGTATAAACTAATAGTTTACATAAGTATTAGACATGCATACAATGAATTTGAAATGAGGGAATGGAGTCGAGTTCCAGTTCGGTTATCTCCCCTTTACAATACAGAAAGACTAAACAAAAAGTCTAAACTAAAAAAAAACTGGAGTGTAAAATATTTTGAATCGCCCGCTTTGATAGCAATTTGCAAGTATTATAATAAAGACGAAAGTTAGTAAAATTTCTCGTAACGTTTCCAGTAACACGAGACAATGCGATATTTTAATAAACGAAAACCCTCTCAGTTCTTAAAATACAAAACGGAGATGTCATTTAGATATCCGTGATTAAAACTGAGACAACATTACTATCCTTATCCCGAATCTTAATACTTCGGCATTGAAACGATATCCGAAAACATTCTTTCTTAAAAAATAAAATGTCATTTAGGGGATTAAAACTTAGATAACATCACTGTAATAGATGTGAATAACTACGGGTCAATAGTAAAGCAAACCCCATACGTAACTATAAAACCTAGGCCTCTGTAAGTCAAACCATTAAACTAACTTGTATATAGTACAAATGTACGATTTTGTATATTGCAAACTGTCAGTTTACTTTTAAATTACGATTAATTTTCTTTTGTGTTCTGTAAATTTAATATATACGCATTAATGCTTCATACTTTCCATTGTGATTAACATTTAAAACAATGCACGAATCGCTTAAGAATAGAAGTAGATTTTTAAAAAGAAAGAACAAAAATGGATATTTAAAATCACAGATCTATTAACTATTTCAAATGTCGTCGTTGGTAAGTATCATTTTCATTTTTTTTTTAATATTATCAGAATACGATTAATAGTTGTAAAAACGCGTTTTCGGGTAACAAAAAAAAAACATTGTTGTTTCTTTCAACAGGTCTAAACTGGTAAGAATTCCAATCCGTTCACACTGCAATTGTCTTTTGCTACAATTCACAAAATAAGAACGTCTGTAAATACTACCTTATTCTTAGTTTTGATGTTTGGGTACACCACAAACCGACGTAGGCAAAAAGAAACACAACCGTGACAATGTACCTTTAAGCATGTTAAGAGAGTATAAATTTTAAGACGTCATCTAGCATGTTAAAGCCGGCCAAAATGAAAGTCAAACATTAATACGATAGCACGGAATATATATATATATATATAAACAAGTCTAAATTGAAAACAACGTTCAAACCTATGATTGCGTTGGATAAAAACCGCAATTTTCATACGTGTGCATGCAAAACAAATTTCTTGGTAGAGGGGTCTAAATACAGCACAAACAACTTTTTCCAAAAGACCAAAAAAGTGAAAAAGTATATTTTAACAAAACGCATTTGACTAGCAGGTCGAACAACTGATGTTCTTAAACCCTGCTGACTGCCATTGGCGATTGCCAAATAAACGGATCACCAGATGTAACAAAATGGATCTTATAATAATTTATTTCCAAACAGAAAACAATAAACTTGCGGAAAAGATGGTATATCTCAAACATGAGGTGCAAAAATTTGTACACCATATCCGGATTTCGACAATTAATGTCTCTTCAGTGATGTTAGGAATCGAAACGGTATTTGGAAGGCCATATAATTTACCTCAATTTAGGATAGACTCTTGAATTTTGAAAGAGTCGAAATAGGATGAACGGATCATATAAACCCGAAGGCAAATATAATACAAGCCCAAACGAAAAAATATAAACAAGTCTAAATTGAAAACAACGTTCAAACCTATGATTGCGTTGGATAAAAACCGCAATTTTCATACGTGTGCATGCAAAACAAATTTCTTGGTAGAGGGGTCTAAATACAGCACAAACAACTTTTTCCAAAAGACCAAAAAAGTGAAAAAGTATATTTTAACAAAACGCATTTGACTAGCAGGTCGAACAACTGATGTTCTTAAACCCTGCTGACTGCCATTGGCGATTGCCAAATAAACGGATCACCAGTAACAAAATGGATCTTATAATAATTTATTTCCAAACAGAAAACAATAAACTTGCGGAAAAGATGGTATATCTCAAACATGAGGTGCAAAAATTTGTACACCATATCCGGATTTCGACAATTAATGTCTCTTCAGTGATGTTAGGAATCGAAACGGTATTTGGAAGGCCATAAAATTTACCTCAATTTAGGATAGACTCTTGATATATATATATAAAGATCTTCAAAGAATCATTTGTTATTTGAGAGTTAAGAGCTCTTTCTGTAGTGATTTTATTAACCTGTTTATATGAACAAATAAACAATTTCCAGCAGGTTGAGACCCTTTTTTTTTTTTATCTAACTCCATCGCATTTCTTTGCGAGTATCTGTTAAGTTGATTATTTTTTAGACAAGGTTTTCTCTCTCTCCAGAACTAGCCGTATAGACACGAATCTTTCGTCGAGGACCGTATGGTGACCTCTAGATGTACATGTCTCTTTAAGTTATTTTTGTGTTTGTTTCGTCAATATCAGATTGACTTTTGTCCTTCATATCCTTTGTTTCATATCAACCGTGGGCAATTTGTCGAAAACATAAAAAAGGTAGCACAATTCTACACACAAAAACAATCACAAGAGCCTTATGCTCTTCTATAATATCATGACGTTTACAGCAATTAATATCCTAACATTGATGATTGATTTGTGATGTTTAACGCCACTTTCAGCACTCTTAACTATATCTTGGTGGTCAGTTTTTATTGGTGGAGGAAGCCGGAGTGCCCGGTTAAAGCCACCGATCTTCGATTAAAACTGACAATTCTAGTCAATTAAGATAAGGGTGCGGGATTCGAACTCCTTACATGAGTGTTGACAGGCTAGTGATATAGTAGATGAACTACTTAAACCACTCGACCACCGAGGCCCCTGCGCTACTTTAATATTATGAAGTTTAACATTTTATTTGTTATACACTTTTCAATGGAAGTATACAGCAATAAATATCCTAACAAATGACACCTCTCTAAAAAGCATAAAGGGACATGATGGCATTGTATTACATTATTTGGTGTTTAAATACATTTTTACATAAGAGTTGACTAAGTGTAACATTATATTTAGGATAATGTTACCATGTTGGTTCACAATAATGGATCGTTAACCTAGATATACTAAACAACTAAAGAAAGGTTACACTTTTTATTATGTTCATTGCATACAAACATTTTCAATAGTTTCATAAATAGTACATGCTTAATTATGCATCTTGGTTAATGCACCATTTTGCAGAAAATTGCTTTAGACCAACACTTAAGAATGCGGCACTGTTTTACCATCAATTCCTACCACAAAGGCTCAAAAACAAAACTTGCAAATCTGCCAAAAATGGTCATACGTGCACTTTTCAAATATAGGTTATCAACTGAAAGATTATGTCAATGTGCTTCAATCCTAAGAGATAGGAAACCTCCCCCTGTATATGTTTTGAACAGCCAAGTTGTTGTTTAAGTTCACATTTTGCTACAGAAGTGCGATACAAGCGCACCGTACAAAATTCATTATTCGATAGTTGATTTCACATAGAGTATATATAGTGATACACATATCCGCCCGTCCGTCACAAGTTTTATTTCCGGATGATAATTAAAATACCGCTCGACCAACTCATAATATTTTAACACAATATGGCATACACTATATATTCGATTTTGATAGTATTGAAATTAACCGTTCAAGAGTTATGCGCCTCAGTTACAAGTCGGTTCAGAGCTCTACAGAGCTCATGTTTACCTTGTTCAATTGTACATATCATGCCCTACTCTAAATAAAATTTACTTACTTACTTACTTACTTACTTACTTACCTTAAAAGTTGGATTTTCCTCGGTTTCCGGATGATAACTAAAGTGCCGCTTTATCAAGACGTTGCGCACGATGTTGGTACGAATTCCATTTTGCAATAGATTAGCATGAAAATATATACGTAGACTGGTCAGTTCGATAAAAATATAGTGATTTCTGGTTGAATTTTTTTACATTAGACTTGAAAATAAAGAAAAAAAGGAACCGAAATTTAAAATATCAAGAATTATAACACTTAATTATCCCATTTTTACGGAAAAACGTAATGTACAACGTTACATTTTGCAAAAGATCGGAGATCCGTTTCTTTCCTACGGTATTTTTTTTCAGGACCTTTCAAACTCCAAACTCAAAGGTTAACAACCAAAATCACAGGTCATACTTTTATATAAAATATTTCATAACTGATACACTAATCTTGCTTGTCATATAATGGACTATTCAGGATATAGACAGTTTACAACCTCCAATATTGAAGCGCTGCTTACCAATATCAACGTCATTTTTGCTATGGATTTCAAGAATAAATTCAGTCACTGAATGGTTTCCCTTTGTTTAATGCACTGTACTCAGTGTTGAAGAGAACCTTGTATCTATTTAACAGATCATGTTTACATTGCTGCTTGAGAATACATTGTCCAAGTTTAGTGTCTGACAATAAATCATTAGACTTAAAATTTGGGTCACTTTAATGGATCCACTGCATTAAACAAGATAAGGGAACTTTTAGCAGTAAGTACCATGATGAACACATTAGAACAGCCAAAATATAGCCGCGGTCGATCGATTTTCCAGAGGGGCTTAAATTTCCGTTCTTGTTTTTCACGATCGGCTTTTGGTCTTAAGTCTTTTATGGGTCCGGAAGCTTCTCCAAATTGGAGCCAAGAGCGATCTTTCTGCCAATGAGACTGGAATTTTCGCACACGTTTGAACTTTCTCGCGATCATAACTTTTAGCCTTGTTTAAACTTTCAAAGCTTCATTGTTGGACTTTTAACTTTTGTTAAGCTACACCCGAAGTACATTGTAGCCAGAATTTCACCTGCCTCGCCCGTTTTTCTCCTAAAAGACGTGATGCCAAGCGAAACAAACTCGTGGTTTAGCAATGTTGACAACAACATGCGTTAAATTGGCGAACGCGGACCTCCACGAAAGCACCATAAAAATTGTCATCTGTATTAATGAACCAGCAAGTAGATCACTGAGTTAAAAATAAATTTCAGCACAAAGCTAATTTATCGTGACTCATCAAGTTATAACAAAGTGTTACATACAGAAATTCATCAGTTATATGTTTTCTGAAACTTGAAAATTAAAAGTCCGTCGGGTGCAGTTAATAACCAAATCGTAAGTCCGACCGTAAATCTTATAGGTCCCGGACCTCGGATCACCGCTAATTTGAACCCCTGATTAACGGTCTGAAAAATGTCCAAGCATATGCAAGGTAAGCATATATCGGGTTTGCGCATTTATAACGTGAAATTGGAAAAGCTGATAGGAAAAATATTTATGATATTTTGAAAGTTTTTTTTACTTTTCTCCTGGTTCATGATATTTTTTTGCCGGAAACCATGCGTATAGTTTCTATTGCAATGACTTCAAAAAGTATAGCCATCTTGTCACAACGAAAAAAACGCTGTATTTTCTTTAGATCTCTTTACAATTGAGGTTTTAACCGGCTACATATCAATTAAGCATAGTTAGATCATAGAAAATAAAACTTGGCGGTAAAATTTTTTTTCTTTTTCTTTTTAAACAATATAGTGTTTAACATTTTTTCGATAGGCAACAAGATTTTAGATCGTTTCAAAAAGTATAGCCGTTTTGTCCCAACGTTCGCAAAACGTAATTGATGTCATGCTCGGGTTTTTAATTTTATATCATAATTATTTGTTTCCAGTTTAATATTCGAATGAAAATAAAAATATAAGTTTTAATATAACCAATGTATGATAAAGGAAAAGTTTAAGTTTAAATTCAAATGTTGACCAAATGAGATTTACATAAAAAAATATCGGGATCTTAGTTTTTTTCAGCACATTCATGACATTTGTTTTATTCAAGGAAAGTTGTCTATCTGCAAGTTTTAAATCATCAAAAGCAACATACATATTTTTTTGGTTAATAAAATAAAATAGAGAAAAACCATTGCTGGCAATTATAACAAAAAAAAAAGGATATGCATAATGCCACAAAAATACGGAAATGAGAAAAACATGAATCCAAAATGTTTAACTACCTAGAAATTTTGCGATAAAGAAAACATCGGGAAATGATAAAATATAGAAAGGAAACGGAAACGGAAAGAAATGCAACAAAAGGAGTATGTATAAACATGCAATAAAAAGGGAAAATAAAGTTCAAAATCTTAATTTATATTAAAAAGAAATCTGTATAAATTCGGAAATTAATGTATGGTTCATTAATGCGAACTGCTGCCAAAAGTAAAATTATCAATTATGGCCTGGAAAGACTGACAACTCCTATAAATGAATATTCATTAAACAAAATATGTGTACGACCACTTTGAGTTTTATTTGTTAAACTATGCATTTTTAGACAAACCGAAATCGGATACCAGATTCAAAACAGTGAATTGACCTCATCAATTATAAGCTTGAACGCTTGAAACGTTCTTTGAAATCGTCGAAATCGCTTCATTATGAGGAACGTCGTGTAACGCTTAGTAGTACCAACATCGTGCGCAACGTCACAGTATTTCAAAATCAAAACACAACGTCATGGATCATAAAATGCAGGGCAAAAGCGATTTTGATGGGTTTAATACACCTTATCGCTATTTGTCCGCCATTACTGGACATCACACAAGTTCCCGTAAAATTTTGACGTCATAATAGAAAATATCTGACGCCACAATGGAAAAGTGATTGTTGTATGACGTCAAAAGTTCGAGCGGGACTGATTCTCGGGTCAAGCGGGATTAGCGATAAAGTGTATACTTACCGTTCAAGAATTATGTCTTTTATATTCCTTCTACGAATGAATAGAATACATTCAAAAAAGTTTTTATGATTGATTGATGCTTGCTTTACGTCCAGTGGTAAAAAATGTATGCATGTTCAGGACGTGAACACATTAACTTTAAATACAACAAGTTGAAATAGAACGTGTGAAAGGGATCGATCGGATGATGTACTGGTACTGGAAAATGAGGGTAAATTGGATAGGGACAGAAATGTAGCCATGCAACAGGCAATTTACTGACCCTTCAAAGGGTTGTGGCACTGTTTCTACACGAGGCATCGACATTTACGTTCCCAATGTGCACGGACATGGCTACATATTGATGTATCCCGTACAACCAATCGGACGCTTTACTTTGGCAAGGATTTAACTGCTGGTCGGAAGAAGACACATATAGTGACCATATTCCTTAGTCACCCTTTTTATGACAACGTATTCGTAGTTCACAAAGTTTTATTTCAACTTGTTTTATACATATATGGGATAAATGAAGTCAATATATCGTACCGTTCCATAAAAAAGTTGAGAATAAGTTAAACAGAATTGTTCCTCAATAAAATAATTGTATTTTAATTTTCTGTACATATTTTTCTTGCTCTTTTCATACTCGTCTACAATTGGAAAGTTCAATATATGAAATTTGTAACTTGATTTGAGTTTAGTTCATTAAATATGACATTCACACTGTTATCTTTACTGAAAAATAGTAAAGTTTTTGCTTTTTCTTCCAGCTATATGTTTTCAGATGATCTTTAACTTCTTTGTACCATGTAACCATACTACCTCACCTAAATGGATGATTATGATGACGAAGACTACAACAAAACGCCGACGCCACAGAACGGAGGACTGAATTTTTTCAGTAGGAACAGTAGCCGCGCTTCGAGTTCAACTCCCGTGAATAATCTTTTTAGTAAGACAGCACGTGAGCGTACTGACGCTTCTTCTGCATCTTCACGTGCATCTGGAAAAGTTGGTTTTCAAGCGAACGTACCACCACGAGGGACAAACGCACGAGCTACACCAATCAATTCGGTAAGACGATCTGTTAGTCTGCGTACAGGAAGCTCAGCCTCGAAAACATTGCCCGAAAGAAAAGCAAGCGGACGAAATAGTGTGATTGCTAAAACCACGGACGATATCAAGAAAAAAAGCACAAACGGAAGAAACAGTGTGTCAAATAAATTGGAATCTGATAATTCAAAACTTGTTCTCGATTCAAACGCTATAAAATCATTGTTTTGTGAACCTTGCCAACAACAGTGTGTAGACGTTAAGGCAGAATCCTATTGTAAAAACTGTGAGGAAGCATTATGTGATAGCTGTGCAGGAACGCATAGAAATTCTAAAATAACACGTGATCACGCCGTTTTATTGCTAGACGATATGTCCAACCCAAGACCAAAAGTTAAAGATGACCAGTACCCGTCAAAACCAGGAAAGCCTGAGAAGGTTGCTATTGAATCCACTACATGTACTATAAGCTGGGAGCCGTCTACAGGTCCTGTTGACTGTTATGAAGTTAGATATAAGGTAAAAACGTCTAAAACATGGTCCAAAGTGCAGACCGAAGGCCCACAGTGCATATTTACTGTTCAAAACTTAAAGGGAAGGACGGCTTACAATTTCCAGGTCCGTGGAATTTCCGGTTCGATTGAAGGACCGTTCAGTTATGTCAGTGAGCCATATGAAACCAAGGTTTCGTTGGCATGGAGATTGATGCAGACAGCAAGGAAAGTAGAGGACGGGAGTCCTGCTAAGTATAAACTAGAATTAGACGAAAAACTATCAGCCAGAAACGAAAAGGCAAAGACAAGAAAATGTGTACTTGGTGAGTTATACAACCGTTCTGAAGTACTGTAAACAGGTAAATTTTCTCGGCAGTTTTATTTTCGTTGTTTTATGGTACTTGAAACGCGAAAATAAAACAACCGCAAATATTTCAAGGAAAACCGATTCCGATGATAAGCCGAAGACCATACATGGACGTATATAAATAGGCCATGTACAGGACCACTGCATCACACCGTTTTACACGCTAAAGATCTATACCAAATATAATGGAAGATTCGAACACAGAAACAAATTTACCATATAGTTTCATTAATTTCAATCATCTCCCATAAAGACCATATAAGCAAACCCGGGGAAGGAATCATCATTCTCGTTTTAATTATTTTATTGCAATTATCATAATAACCTTTTTCCCCCACAGGAGTATAAGAGGTTAGGGACATTCTGTGGGTTTCTGTTTTTAAACATTGTTATGGTCCTGTTTTCTATTACTTTAAATTAGTTTTAAATTACTTCTAAAGAGGAGGTATTGCATTACCGGAGATCTTTCATAAAATTTCCATCTTTTTTAGTACTTTTGATCCCATAGGCCGTACATAGTATAAGGAAACCAAACTAGTGTTAGGTTATTGAATAAATGTGTAGGTTCTTTGTATTTCTTACATACCAAATGTGTAGAATGGTATAAGCTGTTTCTTTGTAAAAATAAGAAGATGTGGTATAATCGCCAATGAGACAACTATCATCCAGAGCCGAACTGACGTGGGTTTAAGTAACTATATGTCACTGTACGGCCTTCAATAATGAGCAAAACCAAAACCTTAATAGTAATTTATGAAAGGATCCAACTTAAGAGTACTGAGAAGAAAGTGGTTCAGATATGTCGTTAATGTGTATGGAGTAGATGTTCTATTCTGAAAGTGATTTTCTTTTGACGGACTATTATGGTATCGGACTGATGAGGTGTCGGACAAATGAGATGTCGGAATATGGGGGTTCGAAATAGTAGCAAATCGAATTCAATGCGATTAAAGTGCCAAAAAGCGACAAAAATAACCAAATGACACAATTCAGAAGGCATCAACATACAATCAATATATATCAAGCTAAAAAGTTAAGATAAACTTTAACAGAAACCATCAATTATCTGCTTGATTTACACCAAGTAAAACTGCATTAAAAACGACACCGTCCAAATTCCAGTTTTCTCAATATAAAATTTATATAATCATAAATTTTGATAGACTCTGTGTTTTCGTTAGATGTTTTCGGCGTTTTATCGATCTGATGAGCTAAGCCCTTTTCAACTGATTGCCATAGTTTGTTCTTATGTTGCAATGTTACACCTCTGTCCCAGAATAGGGGAGGGGGGGGGGGGGGGGGGCACCAGCAAACTAGATAGTTTGAAGGATAGTTGTCTCGTTGGCAATCTCACATCTCCTTATTCTTATACTAACAGAACTTGTAAACTTATAATCTATCAAGATGTATGAAATAAATCAAGAACAGAAGCCAAACATTGACTGCTTTGTTTGGCGGATCCAGGAGTTTTGAAAGTGGAGGCGTAATTCCAGAAAATGGTATATATAAGCCGAGCAGACTTGAGAAAATTTATTTTTGACGATTGTATTCTAACAATTATATATTCCCCCAATTATCAAAGGGGTAGTACGCCCTCTACGCTCCACCTGAATCCGCCACTGATAACGTTAACATCCGAGTGACAAATCTACACAAAGATCGATCCTTAAACCACAACAAGACATTTAACATTGATGTGATTGTATATTTTAGGTAACAAACGCCTCGGTGTAACGGTAGGAGAAAAGACTATCATGATGGTGGGCGCCACTGGAGCAGGAAAGACAACTCTTGTCGATGGCATGATTAATTTTATCACTGATGTCGCTTTAGATGATGACTTCCGGTTTACCATGATAGATTTGACGTCAGAAGAGAAGAACAAAGAAAGTAATCAGGTAAAGTTATAAAAAGAATAAAAATGTTTATTTAATTATATTTCCTGAAATCCTTTTTCTCGTATCCTATACACTACTAGTCTAGTCTATCTCTGGTCATACTCATGCGTATTCATTAGCGCAGTTTTCACAAACCCAAAATAAACAGCAGTAAAATTAAGAATGGAAAGGGGGAATGTGTCAAAGAGACAACAACCCGTCCAAAAAGCAGAATACAGCCGAAGGCCACCAATGGGTCTTCAACACAGCGAGAAAATCCCGCACCCGGTGCTTCAGCTTCAGTGTATAACAAAGATAACAGGTTTGCATATTTTGCAAATATTTTCAAGCATTCAATAGTAAAGTGCCTAATTTTAAGAGTTGTTAACTTGCCGCGTTCTTATTATATAGTATTCTTATCTTCTTAGTCTTTAATTAATGGTTATCTATATTACTTTACGTTTTTGTTGTTGTATAGGTTTTTTTGTAAGTTTGATATATGGTTTAACATTACTGCAATATTCGCATATTTTAGGCTATATCCCAGACGGAGTGGATAACATGTTACCAGATCTGTCACCAGGAAGGATGTAAGGTACCTTTCAACGTCAACATTATCGACACGCCTGGATTTGGTGACACACGGGGTATAAAGAGAGACGAGGCTATCGTTGAACAGATCCGTAGTTTCTTTACAACCCCTGGAGAGATTGGAATCCAAACATTGGACGCGGTTTGTTTTGTAGTCCAGTCACCTTTAGCTAGACTTTCGCCGTCACAACGTTATATATTTCACTCAATTTTATCGATTTTTGGTAAAGATATTGTAGATAATATCTACGTTCTTATAACATTTGCAGACGGAAACATCCCGCCAGTGCTCGCGTCGCTGAAGGAAGCGGAAGTACCGTTTAAAGAACATTTCTCTTTTAATAACTCTGCTTTGTTTGTAGATCCTACCAAGAATAAAACCGCGCCAATGTTCTGGGAAATGGGACAAGAAAGTTTTGAAATTTTTTTCCGAAACTTACAAACTGTTCAGACAAAAAGTCTACAACTGACGGCAGAAGTCCTTGTCGAAAGACGACAAATTGAGCTGAATATAAAAAGTTTGCAAGAAGAAATTAAAGTTGGTCTTCATACATTACACAGAGTAGAGATAGAAAAGAAGATTATAAAAGATCACGAAAAAGATATTAACGCGAACAAGAATTTTATATTTACTGTTCCTCAAGAATACTTTGTCAAGGTTATGTTACCACCAGGCCAACATACCACGACATGCCTTCGATGCAATCGAACATGCCATGACGACTGCACGTACCTTGATAACGACGAAAAACACAAATGTTTCGTTTTCAACAAACGTGGTTTCTGCACTATTTGTATCGAGCATTGTTACTGGCGTGAACACGTCAACTGCAATTATATTTATCAAATGAGAGTACGTCACGTGACTGGTGAGTTAAAGGAACTGCGACAAAAGTACCAAATTGCATCGAATGAAAAAGAGAAACACGAAAAGTTTGTCAAAGCTGTAACCGTCGAGCTGAATAAGCAAGCAAATGAAGTTTGGAATAAAATGAAAACGGTGCGAAAAAGTCTTCAGCGCCTTTCTGAAATTGCTCTCCGTCCTAATCCCCTTACCGACGTCGAGTATGTTAAGCTTCTGATAGAAAACGAGAAGAGGGAAGCAAAACCTGGCTGGCAAACACGAGTACAAATGCTGGAAGAATTGAAACAGCGAGCGCAAATTATTACTGAAATGCCGGAAAAGAAAAGTCAGCTATGGGAAACTGTTAAAGCAAAAGACTAGAGTATTGTTTGGAACGCACTCATAGAAACATATATGTCCTTTTTGTACACAAGTTTTGCTGTATCACATACTATTTTTTTGTATTTAAAAAAAAGAAAAAATATTAGTAGTAATTAATTTATTTTATATGTTTTAAATGAATATCTACTACATTGTAATTATAGATTTTTTTATGGCAAAATCAATATCAATTACGTTATACTTATGAAATGTGTGATGTCAAGTCTCAGTGTCAAGTACATAAAAATTGTGTAAAAGCATATAAGAGAGTCTGGTTTTGGGTTAACAGTGTACTGAATAATGGGGATACATGCTGAACAAAGGTTAAAATAATTACGTACAGAGAAAAGAAGGCCCCTCAAAATCATATAGAGAATAATGGGGAGATAAAAAATAAAGAATACAGAAATGATGATCTCCTCCCAACATCCAGACCCTATTATAATATTGTGTATGTTTTATACCAGTATTATTAAAGTTGATATGTTAAGGGTTTGCTATTCTCATTGATTATGTAATGATGTTTAAACTTACATAGCAGAAGATACTTACCCTTCAACGTACCCGGTCTCCCTTCTCTTAGTACTCATGTGATTCCCTCTCTTTGTGTTTTTTAAGCTTGTTTTTTTATCTCTTATTTGTCTCTAGTTACATAAAATGTACCCGCATAGTACTCTCTGTTAGTGTTTTTTTTAAACTTTCTTTATCTACTACTGACATACCTAAATGCTGCACTTATCCCCCTCCCCTCCCCGCACACAACCACACACACAACAAAAATGCTACCAGTATATATGTCAACAGGAAAAAATAGCTATGCAATCTTTACATAAATGGTATAAGAACTCGTATTCAGTTAAATTAAAGACATAAAAAACGTCCATTTAAAACTTCAGAAATCATATTTTTCTAAAATAAACCCAGTTTTTCTTTATCTCATTTCATAGACTAGACTCGAAATCTTTAAGAACAAAATAAGTTTTATTGCAATAAAGAAGATTAAATTAAGTACAACGTCTTGTTAAACTGAGCCAAATGTCTTATACTGAATTATCCCCGAAATCTGCACATAGTAATGAATTCTACAAAAGACTAAATCAGCGATTAAAGATTAAGACGAATAAAGGAAAATAGTTAATCATTGTTTTTTTGTCAGTAAGTCGGGTATTACGTATCTTTTATTTACAAAACAAGGTTATCCTATATGTCTCCTTCACCTAGGGTTTGTTCTACTAATACGTCTTACAAATGTAGGTAACTTCCTAAACATGTATATATATATACTCTTTTTTCTTTACGTCTCTCACAAACATATTTACAAAATTAATATGAACATCAAAGTTGCCATTTGCGTTTTTGCTTGTCTGTTTGGTAAGTAAAACTGTTAATATTTTTTTCTGTAAAGATTTGCGGAAAATTGTATCCCATTTTACTAAAGTGGGGTATTCTTTTCTCGTGTGTTTAGATGTAACAGTGCCCAAAGACTCGATTATAAGGTGGAACTTAACTCATTAATCTAGATATAAAAGTTAGTAATCACTATCCAGTTAAATTATAGAATAGTTTAAGTCCATCAAACAAAATCACATTTTACATTTTTCACATACAAGTACATTGATGATGTTCCAATTTAAATAAAAACCGATCTCTCGTCGCTCCCGTTTTCTGATATGTCGCGTGGGAGCTCATAAAACGGGAGCGATGAGAGATCGGTTTTTAATTAGATTGATGATCTTCTTTTATTATTTATCGATTTTTATCTGATTAGGTCCCATCAATGTATCCTCCGGAACTAGAAAGAAACGACAGATACAGCTTTCACCGCCTCATTTCTATACATTTACCTCGAATTTGACAACAAAGGTCATCTCAGTACCAGAATCTATGACAAACGAGACGATTCCAGTTATGAAATTACAAAGTTTCCTCACCTTAACAGCAGTATACAACTTCACTCACGTATGGAGTTTACATTTTTCAACTCATACGACATTCAAGAGCTAGCAGCTACTACTCATACTTCGTAAAATGTCATCTGTGTCCGAGCAAAAAAATAATAAACCAGGGTTTTGTCAAAGAACTTCTAGTACTTAAAAAAAAAATCATCGGAAAGTATCAAGATCTGCTAAAATAAAAAATCAGTGTCTACTTCAAAAATAATACAACATGGTCTTACATTATAGATACTCGGTGCTTAAATTGAGCATATCTCTATTTTCGGTTAGTTTTCCCGTTATTTGACTGCGTTATACTATAGTATACTGTTTCTTTTAGTCGTATGACTTTTGAAGTGACTCGGTATTTATGCATCCCATCATTGGGTTTTTGACTTTAAAACTGAGAATGGAAATGGGGAATGTGTCAAAGAGACAACAACCCGACCATAGAGCTGACAACAGCCGAAAGCCATCAATGGGTCTTCAATGCAGCGAGAAACTCCCGCACCCGGAGGCGTCCTTCAGCTGGCCCCTAAACAAATATGTATACTAGTTCAGTCATAATGGACGTCATACTAAACTCCAAATTAAACACAAGAAACTAAAATTAAAAATGATACAAGACTAACAAAGGTCAGAGGTTCCTGACTTGGGACAGGCGCAAAAATGCGGCGGTGTTAGTTGCATGTTTCTCGTGCAGGTGGGTCCTTATGTGTGATTCGGACACAAGAGGGTTTTTACAGTGTTCTTTCTATTTTTTCCAACCAATTTTTTTTTTTAATTTATCGAGACGTATAAAAGTCAAAAACGTTTTTATCGGCGTCTTTGTCAATATACTATCAACGGTACATACTTTTTTGTTTGTGTATTTTTCCAATTTACTATGATCTTCTACAACACTTATTGATGACGTCTGTGTTAGATTCATATGTATGCCTGTTTTCATTTTTATAGACAGTTTTGACAGCTGGATCCCAATTGCTGTGAGATTGACCTAATATGTCTGTTTTGGTTGCTCACTAATTTTATTCGTTATAATGGAGTTATAAAAAAACTGTCATGGAAGTGGGAGGTTTAGCTAGATTTAGAACCAGTTTTAACTCACCATTTTCATCGGTAAATGTATGTACCAAGTCAGGAAAATGGCATTTTATTTCATGTGTTCCATTGATTGATAGCGTTTGATGTTATCAGTTTCTATGGGCTTCCTGTTTTTGAATTTGCCTAGGAGTTCGGTGTTTTTGTTATGTTTTTTGAATTATAAAATTGCGTTGTTAAAAGGATAGTATATTTAATACTTAAAAAAAAATGTGTATACAGTGGTATCAATATGCTATTTAAATGATTAATCTTTCCTCGAAAAAATGCAAACGAATATCACACAATGACAAAAACACCAATTGATATTCAAATGGAATATATTAAAAACAAAAATATGCAATCATAGGACTCCATGCGCCGCTCACACTTTCATATTTCTACATTGATTAAATCGCAATATATGGATTACAGCAAAATGACTTGAGTGTGTAGGTAAAGGTAATTACTAATATCTTTTAATAGCTTGCTTACTAGCTAAACTAAAAAATCATTATTAGTTTGGGTATACTACCCTCCTTTCGGAGTAGTCTAGTCCTACATACAGATATATTGGTTATCTGTCGGACTAGTCTACTCTTAAAGGAGGGTAGTTTACCTAACGTAACTTCACGGTTCAGCTAGCAAGCAAGCTAGCCAAAGATATTACCTTTACCTACACACTCAGGTCATTTTGCTGTAAATCCCGAATATTGCATGTATACTGACGGACTTTATAAACGAAACACAAAATTAATCTTGTTTATTCCCATTGTATGAGTAGACATTTAGACATGTTTGCATCTATATTATAGAAATATTTTATTCAAGCTTTTGTCATTGGGGAGAACTGTCAGCATGTAAGCGATTGTGCACTTACCCGTTGTGGGAGTGGTCAAACTGCTAACTGTTCTAATGGCATGTGCATTTGTGTGATATTGACTGGCATTGGTAAGTTTTTAAACAACACTTACAGCAACAATGATCTGATAATATGAAATATATGACGCTTTGTTCAACATGTTAAAATAGGCGATTTTTGCAAAAAAATTAAGTCTGCAGCAAATACTGACTGTCCATCTTAAATTATCGTATTAAACTAACTTCAGTTTTTAATTGGCGAAGAGGTTTGCCCGACTATGAGAAAAATATTACTCACATGATGCACTAACACTAGTGCGTTTGATGGAAGTTGAGTGGCATGCAAAAATACCTCAAAAAGTTCTACGACACCAAAAAACCCATAACACATTAATTGATTGATTGTTTTTGTTAAAAACCACTTATATATACACATCATAATCACACTGACGAAGGATATCTATTATCCAAAATATTTTTAGATGATTACATTTAATGTTCCTTTTCATATCGGATGTGACCTTAAGAGGTCATACGGGTGTTATGTTGCCGCATATATCAGTAACAAATCATGAATACTGAAAATTTGTGTTAACGCTTGCAAACGGTCTATGTCTACAGAAATTATTTGGTCTGCTCCCTAAATAAACATATAAAGGGGGCGGTCGTGAATAATTAAAAAGATATAATATATATATATCTTAAAGTTAGAACCTTCCTACGACCACCATAAGACACCTAAATAGGTGTCCTTAACTGAGAATGATTCTGACCATGACATCTCTAAGTTGCGAAATGTTAAATAAACCAACTAAGGACAAAGATCTGCATAAGATGATCTTAGCAGATGACCTAGTCATAAGAGCGCTTCGATAAACACGCTCCATGAGTAAAAAACAAGCATATCTGAAAATCCCAAGTTTTACAAGCCGGTAATTAACCTGTTACGATAATTCATGTCAACACAGAAGTGCTAAATACTGGGCTGGTACCAGCATGTGTGTTATTGAGAATTTTACAACACGCAAAACAAGTCAATAACAAGAAACATCAAAAACCCAATAATAGTTTCAATCTTGCTAATAGACATTTAAAAAAAATAATAACGTGTTTCATCATAACTGTTCTTTTGTAGCCTGTACAGGTGTCAGTGAATGTCATGGTCCATGTCATAGTTACAGGGCACACTGTGTTGATGGACAGTGCGTTTGTGTTAATATTTTCCCATTCGGAATACATAAGAAAAAAAGAGAAGAGTCTCACTAGATCAATGTTACATGAGTTGTCAAACATTAAAATATCACATTTCTTATATAATATAATATTGACTTAAGATATTCTACTGTATTTCTTTTTTTTCACTTGAATTTATCATTGTATAAGTAAAATCAAAATGAAAAAAAAAATAAAGAAAATTATTATTTAGTGTTTGTTTTATTATATTTCCATTAAAAATATGACCTTTTTATAAGTCTTATTCATAATATGGTGGGCGACGTACATTTGCGCAAATTTGCATTTTAACAAGATTTTTTTCAGAATTCATGATATCAAGGATTTATAAAGTTACTATGTAAATCATTGATAACGTTTATAAAATATACTTCCATCATTTGTGAATAATGAAGTAGTTATATAATAGGCAAATTTTGCGCAAGCATGTAAAGTTTTCCCGCAAACGTAAACCAAATTCGCGTCGAATGCAGGCAATATTCAAAAGAAAAAAAAATATTGTTGAGCATTTCCTGCAAAGCATTATTCTAAATGAAGTGGTGCGATGTGAACTGATTTATACAAATAAAATTTGGTCGGTTTTGAAGAATCGAAATGATTTAATGTTTTTCTCATTGTTATATGTTAACAATGTTGAATTGTTCAGCTTATACAGAGATGTTGGCGCGGAATCAAGGTCATAAATATTAAACTTCGCATATACCGAGTTCATATTAGCATGATGCTAAAATGAATTTAGCTTATGCTAAAATGATTTTAGCTGATGCTAAAATGAATTTAGCTTATGCTAAAATGATTTTAGCTTATGCTAAAATTAATTTAGCTTATAACGAATTATAATTTAGTATATGATTAAATAATTGTGCTTTCCAATGAAAAGCTTACTTTCTTAACTAGTTGGTTGGACAGTTGCTGCATGCGGTCTTTACTAATACTAAACATATAGCAACTAAATTTAGAATTTTCCATGCTTATTTACAATGTATAACAGAGAACATCGCATAGACCATCATTCTTATATAGATATAAGAAGATGTGGTATGAGTGCCAATGAGACAACTCTCCATCCAAGTCAAAATTTATAAAAGTAAACCATTAAAGGTCACAGTACGGTCTTCAACACGGAGCCTAGGCTCACACCGAACAGTAAGCTATAAAGGGCCCCAAAAAATTACTAGTGTAAAACCATTCAAACGGGAAAACCAACGGTCTAATCTATATAAAAAACGAGAAACGAGAAACACTTATAAACCACATCAACAAACGACAACTACTGAACATCAGATTCCTGACTTATATTCATTTTCTAACGACGTGTAATTGAATTGGATCTAGGATTGGCTACGTTTACTGAAAGTTATTAAAAATCCGCAGTGAATGTAAACATATTTAAGGAGCTACCTTTCATTATGATGGGAGATGGCTAAGACCTCAATATTGAACAAAAAAAATGGCAGGACTCAAAACCTGAGAAAATAAAAAAAAGCAGATTATTCTCTGAAACAAACGGCGCGAGACAGCGCGTAAAAAAAAGAAGCAAAACACATATTTTGTGGTAAAAAAATAGTGAAAAGAAAATCCTTCCTACTCCCATAGAAATCATACGGTTGCTCCCTTATGTAACCAGTGCGATCGTATATGTAATTACAAGAATGTTCCATTTTTCTGCACATGCCAAGATACAATATAGTTTTGACATAAAATGACTGTCACTTTATTCAAACTTAAAGCAAAATACGTATGAATACTTTGAATTTATGTCTGGATGAATATTTGATGGTGAAGATTAAACATATTAACTGCAAGAAAATTTCGACAAAAGCTGCCCATGACAATGAAATGTGCAATACATAACCAGCAATACAAATCAAAAGACGAAGAAATAAAAAAAGTTGATCGTCGTATCTTCATTGGGAAGTCGAGTATTAGGTACATTTTTATTTACAAAACAAGATTTTCCGGTATGTCTCCTTCCCTTAGAGCTTTTTCTACTAATACGTCCTTTAAATGTAGGTAACTTCCTTATCCTGGTCATGTATATATACTTTGAAATTTTGTCTTTTTCTACGTCTCTCTTAAATATACTAACCAAAATGAATACCAAAGTTGCAATTTGCTTTCTTGCTTGTCTATTTGTTAAGTGATAATATTTTACTATTTATGGTAGTTATTATTGCATAATAGTACTGAAGACAAGTTTTAGTCAATAAAACAAACCCACGTTTTAATAGTAAAATAACGTTGTCAAAACATATAGAGTATATTTGATAGAAAAAAAATAAAGAATATTTGCTACTAATCTTTACACAAATCTTTACAATGGAATATCCCACAAAAACAAACACCAATTTACCATGTTTACATTAAAATGGAATAATTCAAAAAAAAAAAAAATGTGTCCATAGAGTTTCATGTCCCGCTGGCGCTTTCATATTTTCAAATTCAATGAATCTCCAAATATGGGTCAAAACGTAATTTCCCATTCCCCCCCCCCCCCCCCAATTATTTGGGTAGCAAAAACTAATATCAAATTAAGTACAACGTCTGGTTTAATATTTGATGATGCACCTGTACTGACATTTCCACAAAATATGCTAATGGATGCTTAATTGAAAATCAAAACGAATCATGGAAAACAGTGTATCAATGTATGTTTATTGGCAAGTTGGGTATTACGTATAGTTATATAAAAAATAAGAATTTCTTGTTTGTGTCCTTCACCTAGAGTCTTATAAATGTAAACCTCCTATATATACTTCATCTTTTTTCAATCAATTGTCATTTATATTTTTTCAAACATGATTTCAACAGCTAAAATTTGCTTTTTTGCTTGTCTGATTGGTTAGTAAACATTATGTCCTCACTAAAATTATTTATTGCTTCATATGCATTGCAAACGAGCAAGTCAGGTACACATTATTATTACGTTAACATGATTCCGTCACGAAAAAGCATGCAATATGGACGATAGACTTTATACAACAATTCCTTCATATACATATGACCAACATCTTTTAACCGTTGCACATGTTACATGAATTTTATTTACTTTATTAACGTATGATATCAACTGATAACAGAACAGATCAACATCTGATTTGATATCCATTCGCAAAGCTAACTTTTTTATATTATCATACTGTAATACGCAATACTGAATTCAAAAGATATAAAAGACTTGCTTTAAACAAATTCATTTTCCACAAATGAACGCAATTGTCAAGTAATAGAACCTGTAATCAAGGTATTTTTCTATATATTCCCTGTCAATTTATAGATAACTTCATATGCATGTCTTTTTCAATTTCGCATCCGTATCAACGCGAGACGCCAATACAATCTTTCGAGCTCTGCCCGAGGAATTTTATTGATCAAGGGTTGATACCTGTATAATATTGCAAAAAGCAGTATCATATACACATTCTTATATTCTTAAAATAGGTGTGGAAACTTCTCCAATTTTTTTTCAAACCAAGTATCTTAGAACTTTAGTTTTAGTATTGAATACGGGTATTTGTTAACAGAAAGTTCAATGAAAGCACTGATTCTTTTTTGTGCATTAAGGATCATCACCACACAATTCATCAAAAGGAATTGACTCATATGACCGTGTTTACACTACACAATCTACTCTCGAATACAGACAAAACGATGCATCTAGAAACGTTTTAAATCATGGCTGGACCTAGATATATAAAAGTCAAATGCATTTTATCCTCAGGAAATAAAAAAAAAGTTACCTGGATTTTGATTTGCACTTTTTTCCAGTTTGCATAAGATAGCAAAATAACAACAAACAAATGATTTTTATTTGATACGGTCCACTGAGTTACACAGTTTACATAATCTATTGATATGCATATATCGATTGTCTCTCTATTGTCCATATGAATCAATACAGTTCAAAACATTTATTATATGAGGGGAGCTTCTTAAACCTCTTTCCCAACATATTTTATCTTGGCGCCTTCCACAGGTATGAAAACAAAAACGAATAGCAAAATCAAGTTATGTTTTAATATTCTTAAACTTAAAAAATTCATTTAACATGTTTAAATTGTATTCATATCTGTCCAGCTTGCTTACAATTTTTACAGCTGCACAGGTACAAATGTACGTCTGTACTTAGAGTGAAACTAGTGGTAAAAATACGGCCACATCTGCCAAAAGAGTATAATGCACAACCGAATGCTTCATATGTATTCATGTTTATCATTTTAAAATCCTTATAGCTTTCAAAATAAAAAAAACATGCTGACATCACTAGTGATTAGCATGCATGTACTAAGATATTCGAATAAAACAATCATATTATATATGTACGGAAAATCATATTCTATATGTACGAAAAATCATGTTAGAAATGAATAAAAATCATATTATATATAAATAAAACAAATCATATTCTATATTTCAGCCTTTTCCATGTGTCAGCTATGCAACGACGTGAGTGATAGACAATAAATGTGAGATTACCACATGTTTAATGCCATATATAAAAGAATGTTTTTCTCGCATTTGTACTTGTGTGAGTCAAATAGGTAAGAATTAAAAGTGTATTTAAATGCAACAATAGGTTGTTGTTTTGAATAAAAGGATACTCTCTAACAAAAATGAACTAGTTCGAACAAAATTGGCACAGCCAAATGTTCATATTTACTTACTTAATTACAATTTGTAAAGGATTTGATATTTAAAAGATGATTATGGAATAGTGGTTTTAATAAGTCAAATAAATAAATCGTCAGAAAGAGAAGCATATTCCTCTGGTCGGGATTGAAGTATTAAAGAAAAATCCTTGAAATGAAACACACAAACTTATGTGAAAGTGGTCTTACTTCCTTACACTAATGCGGAGAACTGCTTTAGGGATGCAAGCTAATAGTGAAATATAGACATTAAATTCAGGTGTGGGTGATGTAAAGCTTATTTTATGATTATATGAATATTATTCTAAAGTGAACTAGGTCTTGATTACATATACTTAACAAAAAAATTGGCAAGGTATTGGCTATTACCATGCAAACTATAATAGTTAAGTGGAAACTACAGAAGACAAAAATATTCGAAAAGAAAAGATTTAGCCAGAATTTTGACACTAAGGGGGGTATTGTCCTTGAATGACAATGTGTTCCATTTTTTGTTGTTGCTTAAATTATATAAATAGAGAAAAACTATAAATAGTCAAAATT